GGGAGGAGGGCGAGATGTGGTGGAGGAAAAGCGTGGCTGCAGGTCCGGAGGAGAGGAGCAGCGGGTAGTTGGGGTGGAACATGAGCGAATCGACCGAGGACTGTATACTATGTTAGTTTGAAGTGATGCACAACCTAGCAATAGAAGACATACCGGCTGGTCCTTGCCAACGTCCTTGAGACGATGAATATCCACAACCTCCTGGCGCATCTTTCTGCGGCCGCTTGACGTCTTTTCCTCCACGTTGACAAGGTCCGTAGCGTTCTGCAGCAACTTAGCCAGCGGCTGCGTGGACGACGGCTCCTCATCATCCGTGTCCATCTCGTCCGCATCGGACTCATCCTTCTGTTGCTGCTTCTCCGGGTTGGCCCAGTCCGGCATCGGGTTCAACTGCAAGTACTGTCTGCGTAGGCGGCGAATGTATTCCTTTCCGCTAATGACATCCTCCGATTCCGCGACACGCAGCTTCCTCAGCCTCTGGTGGCTCGCCAAGGAGATCGTAATGCGCTCGTCGTCGCTATCATGCCACAGCGCAGGCATACCAGACTCCTCCTCACTGCCCTCTTCATCCGACGGCACGGCGGGCGTCACCTCGCTGAGATCCGTCGAGACCGGTCCGGCGCCAGAGTCAAGGAAGAAAAGCTACCACAACCCATTCGTTAGCAACCAGTACAGTTACAAACAAGAGAGTAAATTAGGATAGAACAAACATCAGCATCATCCATCTGCGACAAATCCTTCACCTCATCATCATCTCCCTCCTCCGCAGACTCGTCCTCATCGCTACTCTGACCCGCGAGTACTAAACTGCGATCCTTCTGGTTCTTCAACGCGCCAAGAAACCCCTCGTCGTCGCCGAAGAGCATGGCCTCGAGCTTCTTCTCGGCTTCGTCCTTCTCCGGCACCGAGGACTCGTCGGAGCTCGTTTCATCGTCGCTCATGTCGATGTCGCTGGCTTCGCGAATGGGTTGGCCTGGTTCGAAGGGGGAGCGCGCGGCCGTTTTGACCTTTTGGCGGGACTTTTGCTTGACAGCCACTTTCGGCATTGTGAAGTATGTGTTCTCTGATTGATCAGAGTTTAGGGGAGAATTGAATGGGTGGATAGAGGGGGTGGTGTATATCGCAGAAAGCGAAGCCGACAATAATTTTCTTCGGCGGCCGGCAGATGTGGGCGGTGAGGGGTGCGGTCACTGCGGTACAATTGTGCCTGGTACTTAAGGCATACTTATTTAAGTAGATTGCTACTGAAATCAATTCTAAATGCGATCTTGAAATTATCCATATTTTAAACTATACGTATGCGTGGAAGAGTTATAACGTGCAGTAGACGAAACAAAAGACATAAAAACAGCTGAAGTAAAATCATGTACACGCCATCCTAATAGGACCATAAATGCAACCAATCACAACTGCCATTGAATAATCACCGAGAATATCACCAAACGCCACATAACACACGTGAGTGGAGATCATATCAGTCCTTATTCTGGGACTTAAGCTTGGTGGATGACGACAACTCGCCATACTCGCCGTGGCTGCTACCCGATCTGGCGGACGCGGCAGAGCTGTGTTCGACTTGAGCTGGGTTGTATTCGGCGGACTCGAACCGGACTAGATCCTCTTTTACAGGTTCCGAACCATCATCTTTCCCAACGGAGTCATCGTCCGACTCGAAGGACGCGTCTTCGTCCATGCCCGCCAGGAGCGCATGGCGATGCTCGTGGGTGTCATGCTCCGCCTCCTCGAAAGTATCCAGCATAATCGGCTTCTTGATGAAGGTGTCGATGATGTAATACTGTATTGCGTTCATGATGACAGGGAAAAGCAGCATCACGAAGATGATCTGCACTGCCGTGTTGCCTTCCGTCCATCGGAGAGCCCAATCTCCCACCTTGACTATGAACGGCAGCAGCTGGATGAGAAAGAAGACGCAAATCTTCATCCCCAGCAGTCCCATAAAGTAAATTATTGATTGCTTGAACCACCATGAGGCGCGCGGTGGACTTCCATAATTCCCAGACTCGATGGACTCCGGAGGACTTGCGAGGGGAGTATACGAGGCTAAGCGGTTGAGGAGGTGAAGGATGAAGATGAGGATCGGGATACCTAGCGTGGTCTTGAAACGAAGCATGTCAGCATGCAACCCGTATAACGGAGCATAGGGATAACCTTACATCGATTCCCAAATTCAATATGTAGAAGGAGCATGGGTTTGGTTTGTATTTACTCCGGATTTCCAGCTGGCCCGCCGAAAACATGGACATAAGCAGATTCGCGAGGTGCAGCATCGCAGACCCAAAGACTTGCTTCGAGACGTCAAATGCCCACACCTTCACTGGTCGCTGAGGTCTCTCCCTCCAGCGCTTGTAGACAAGTGATAGCAGCGCCAATGCCCCGAGCGCAGCTTGAACGAGAAGCGAAAAAGGCCCTAGGAGCCTGCATTCCCCGGTGTCGTCTCCATCGGTCGGATCTGGACCAGCTAGATGAAAAGGTACAGTTTGCATAGTAGGTGATGGTGATGGTGACGGCGTTATGGAGGTGGTGGAGGCTAGGGTCAGACTGCCAACCGCCGAGGCACCGACACCGCTACTAAGGGCTGCGATAGCCGTTGTTATGACTAGCCCGGTGAGCGATGGGAAGGTCATGGCGGCGATGCTGCGTCCGAAATACAGATGGAAAGCAAAATCAAGGAGAAGAGGCTATAGCGAGAAGATATCTCGACAAAGTCCGAGGGATTTTCACGGCCAAGCGACTGGTGGCGGTAATAATTGAGGGGAGTCCAGTGACCTGCGGAGATGCAAGACGGCGGCGTGCCTATCTTGCGAGAGATGTCCGTGTCACGGGCATATGGCCGGGGCAGAATTTGTAGATGATGGGAGGATTTCAACCAGAATTAGGAGCGCGACGGTGAATATAGACGAAGAAGGCAGGTCCTCCTTAACCAGCAAGGAACCGGAACCAGCCAGGGTCTCAGGGTAGAAGCTAGGAATTAAGTGGGTTTCATGGGAGGATGAGAATGGGGCGGAGAACCATCCAGCCTTAAGTTATGAGGTCAGGACCAGCACGAGAACTCTTAAGACTCTGAAGACACCGCCCCCGCAGCTGGGCCTTACTAGCGCCCGCCAAGCTCCTACCCGGCGGTCCTGCAAATTATTGCGCCCCCCGAGAAATACCCTGATTCTGGTGTTATGAACTATTTTTGGTTTGCGTGATGATTACTAGTATACTAATATCGCGTCTTCGACTACTCAGTATTAGATCAACCAAATTTACTACACAAGTTTGGCACATTTTTTGTCATTGACTTTTATCTGTACTAACCGCAGGCGCACAACGCCCACAATATCCAATTGATCATCCGGCAGCAATCCAAGCCTTTAACGAGACTTATTCTCGCACCGTGGGGCGAAAACTTCGTTTGTCATGGCCGGTCAACCCCCGAAGTCACAACAGAATCCTCAAGAACCCACGGAGGCATAATCCTCCGAGGGATTCCCACATCAGGACCAACGCTTAGATCATCAGTCTCTCGACCTTGTCCTTGATGGTCTTGATCTGGCCCTGGAGGTCACTGGCCTCGTTGGTGGTGATGCTGGCAGCAATCACGGGGCGGGAAACACCGGTAGCACGGCCGAGAGCAAGCTTGCTGGGCACAAAGACATAGGGGGTGTTCTTGTCCTCAGCGAGGAGGGGGATGTGGAGGAGGATAGCGAGGGGAGAGGTGTCGGCAGCGAGGATAACGAGCTCGGAGGTACCACGGTTAAGAGTCTTGGTGGCTGCAGAAGACAGTTAGCAGGCAGGCAGACAGTGAGTATCCTTGAGGAAGCACATACCCTCGTTAGCACCCTTCTTCAGCTGGCGGTAGTGACCAGCCTGCTGGACAAGGTCCAGAAGGTTCTGGGTGAGGGCCTCATCGGCGAGGGGCCAGGCTATAGAAAATTATCAGTATATAGCCTTGAGAAGAACGAGACCTGGGATGTGCATACCGGCAGAAGTCTCAGACATTGTTAAGAATGTGGATTTGACGTGTGTAGCGGTCGAAAGAGGCTCACGCAAAGGATCACTGCCGTGTTGCAGATCTAAATGCTGGGGAGGAAAGGTAGTGGTGGTTGTAGAAGCAGAAGCGCATCTGGACTGCAGCGAAAAGAAATTCTTTAGAACCGCGGTGGGTGGGGCTGAGTCATGCCTATCGGCTCTAGGATTGGCCACTTGTTTGTGCCTCATTACCAAGGCATTTAAAGTCTTTGAGGCCTCATGGATCAGGCATAAATAATGACTGCCGGATCCAGGCTGATCGCCTCCTTACTCCAGCGCCTGTGCTCCAGCTGTCATCGAAGATCGACCCCCGGTGGATCAGTATACCCCAGATACTGGTCGGTGCAGTATCCAGTAGGTAAATAGAAGTTCATGCTTTCGTAGAATTAACCTGCTTCCGATCGCTACTTTGCTCTACGCATCTAGTGATAGAGGGCGTGTTGTTCCTTATCTACAGATCCCAGGGGTCTCTCTGCCTACTGTGTCTGGCATTGTCTGGCATCGGTGCCCCTTGGCGCCTGCAAGCCAAATGTCCAGGATCATCGGGTGCTTGAATCGTCAGGTGCAGACGTTCCAAGCATGTTACCCCAATGCTGCACCTGCGCTTTTGTGACAATATAATTGGCGCTTGGATCTCGCGGCTAACGAGGCCGGGAGTGGATACCATTAAAGCGAAGCTCAGCAGAGACATAAAATACCGCACTAGTTGGCTAGCCTTACGTCGGCACTCCAGGGGGTTTCTGTAGATACTTCACTAGTCGATGCACGATCTTCAACCGCTTGATCCACCCCCATGCAAATTGACGGCCGTTGGACGATCGTCAGATACCTGCCCACTTCTACGACTGACGTGGTCTCTGCAAGTGCGCTGGGTCAGTTCCCCCCTTGATCGGGGTCACTCTAAACATCCAAAATTTGAAGCAAGACAAGTCAAAACACCTGTAGTAAGCAGTAATCTCAGAGGGGGGTGCCGCAACAGCCAAAAGGTGGCCGGCGATCGAAATGATTATATTGGTAACCTTAGAGCCGGTGCAGCTAGCACCGACCCCGGTTTGAAATAACCCATTCTGTATCATTCTCCTGAACAAAAAGCCAGGGTGTCATTCAACCCGCCGGCAACCCTTTCATACCCATGAATGAATAAGAGCCATCAAACCCATAGGAGAGAAAAACGCCAGAAACCCCACGACCAACCCAGGATAATACGCAGCCAGATGCCGGCAAAGGGCATGCAGAGAAAGCGAACAAAAGCAATCATCACGTCATTCTATCCCATGTTGCTGTTTGAGACGCTCCAAATTCTCTTGCCTTTCCGCCAAGTCCTCTTTCGACCTAAGCATTTTCTCGGGCTGGTGATATAGAACTAGGACAGAAAACAAATGTCAGCCAATCGAATTGTCCTCATAATTTCTCTGCTTCATCCTCCCCTGGCACGGGATAACATACCGACGAGGTATCTGTTCTGGAAGTTGAATCCATTGAGCTTATCGCATGCCTGTTTGGCGTCATGAACGTCTTCGTAAACCACAAAGGCCGTGCCCTTCGAGTTGTTGGCAATTCCCTGACGTATTTGGCTAGAAGGACAGAAACAATTAGACTTGAATGACCAAGAAATGGGCTGAACGTGAGTCATGCGCAGATTTACCGGATGGGACCAAATTTGCCGAAGAGGTCAAAGAGTTGCTCAGCTGTGACGTTGTAGCTGTAAGGAGACAATCAGATTAGCTCTCGCTTTCTAGAACAAGATGGGGCGCCTTTCGCCTGATGGCTGTCGGTCGATAGGTATGCGACGATTGGGTTGCGAATCGAGGAGTAAATCGTGGGAAATCATCGACGTACTTGAGGTTCTTTACAAAGAGAATCCTGAAACCAGTCAGCATCGATACGTCAGATATGATACTCGTTCGGCACGCATGTTTGCCATCCAACAGCATGCAGAACAAATGCCCGGCATTGAATGATGGCGGGCGACCGAAGAGGGGCAAGATTCGGCGAGCAGAACTTACCGATTGGCTTCGGGGGCGAGCTTCCGGCTCATTCTCGGGTGGGACAGTATAGGTCCTAAAAATGGGGTCGGGAGAGGTTGAAGATGAATCAGATACCCAGAGGGCCTGGAATGAAAGGTGTATAGCGAGGGAAGAGAGAGGAAGAGGAGGAGGAGAGAGGGAAGCAATATCCGCGACAAGCACGAGGTTCGGAAGGGAGCCTGCCTTTCCTGATTGGGACTAGTGGCTGGGAGGAGCCTCACTTTGTTGGTTCGAGACAAGACGACAACAAGTCCGAGGCATTGAGGCCGACGGACGACGTCGGGGTGTAGATGGAACTGTCAGAGTTGAAGAGAATAATTTGGAGATATAGGATTACTTAGCTCCTAGTACCTTATCTGAAAAGTTGAGCTATGAAGGTGGAAAACCCTCTTGGTATACTTCGAACTGCAAGTAGTATCTAGTAGTGCTGCTCTCCGGGTTGCTCGCCGCAAACGATAGGATAGGATAGGGAGTGCCGGCCTGAGGCAGACTGGCGGCGCGCCCGCTTTGCCTTCCTTCGACCGGCCGTCCAAGCAAAGCCTCGCGCCTCCTCCTGCTCTGTTCCGGTGCAAAGCCCATCCTCTTAATCTGTTTTTTCTGGCGCATTCTTCAATCGCTTGTTCTCCTGTATTCTTCATCATATTCTCCTGCACCTTGATTGACCCGTCTCAGACGTTTCTTTTTTCGCCCGCACCCGCCGCGGTGCATACTCGGGGCTCTCTCTTCCCGCCGCTCTCTCGATTGAAACTCCCAGTCGGCAGAGAGTCTCTCTCAACTTCCCCCCCTCAACCTCTCCGCCGTGCGACTCTCCTCCGTCACCCTCTCCTTCCACCACCCCACCATCTCCTCGGTTTCCCTTCTGATTCACCTTTCATCTCATTGTTCACTGTGCGCTCTTCAGTCTGCCAGGAATGACTCTCTTTTTGCCTGCGGTGGCCTCTCTTTAGCCCGTGTGGTCGAACATCCCCGCTTTGCACCCGTCTGCCGCAAGCACGCCTGTTTCCTCCTCCGGGCCCTTTTCTTTCTCTCCTTTCCCTCCGATTTCATCCTCAGATCACACGATGATCACTGCTACATCCTTTTTGAATCACCTTGGGAGCCGACCGCCGCGGTATCGCACTCCCTCGCCGCCGCGACGCGCCGTCGAGCCTATCTCGCCTTGCTCGACCTCCGACCTCCGTGCATCATGGGTCGACCGCAACGTCTCCCGGGTTGCTGCCTCCGATCGCGACCACTTCCTACCTCACAATCCTACACATCATCATCATGCTGATGAGACAGCTTCTCATCGCTCTAGCCATGGCCGCTCCGGCTCTACCATCGACGCTCTTGCAACCATCGCCTTAGCGACGAGCCCGACCTTCGCACCTCTCTCCTACCGACCTCCTTCTCAAAACTCCACACCCGCCATGTCGCTATTCCCCTCCGAGCCCATCGAATCCACAGAACGCCCAAATAAGCGTCCGAGGTCGGAAAAGGATCCCTCTCCTTACACCCAGCACCGGACAGTGGCCGTGTCGGATGCAAATTCTGCTTCGTTGTTTGATAGCATGAAGACGGATGCAGAGCTTTTGCTGAATCTGGCCCGGCCCACAAACTTTCATCCTCCCTCGCATTCCGCAAAACGTGTCAGCATCGACGAGTCGTTTTATCATTATGGGGACGAACAAAAGCATCATGTCACGGCGGATTCGGGCGGCGCGAGCTGGAGGTTCAACGACGAAAAATATGCATACAGTGCACCCGGGCCCAACAACATGCCGTCTCGGCTGAGGTCACAGTCCGACGGTTCAGCTGCCATATCACGCCCGGTTATTCATGGCGTGCGACCCAATACAAGCTCCTCTACTCTTCCACCAATTCTCTGGCAGGAGGAAGGGGACGCTGAAAACGACTATTCCCCCACGAAGTTCACCATAAATGGTAGACCGAGCGAGACACAGGCACAACATTCAATGCACACCACACACGTCGCGCAAATGCCGATAGACCATTCCTCCAAGATTGACGATGAAGCGGAGGAGTCTAACCAGGCTAGCTGCGCGGCTTGCAACCTTGTGCGGATTCCGATGGACACTGGCGAGCAAGGCGACGTGACATGGATCAGCTGCGATGGTTGTAAACGGTGGTTTCATATTGTTTGTGCTGGGTTCAAGAGTGACCGCGAACTCCGAACGGTGGACAAATTTATCTGTCGAGAATGCCGTCCTATATATGGACAGACTACTTTCGTGCGCAAATCGTCTCGGGCTCGCACAGCTATTGATTATGCCGGCCTCAACCAAGGGCTTGTCAAGGCCGCAACGGACTCTCTCGAACACCACTACATTGAACCCATCCGACAGGGCAAAATCCAATTCCTCCCCGAAAACTTCCCACGAATGCGTCCTGAGCTGGTCACTGCCGAATATTTCGAGCGAGGCAATGGCATGACGGAACCGATTGTCATCCCTGCGGAGTGGAACACTCGCGAGTCCGTTTCTATCAGTGATTCCGAGTTTGACGCTCTAGTACAAGAAGCGCCTACGCAAGAGATGTTTGACGAATTGCTGGATCACATTGCTGAGCAAGAGGAAGGCTATGAGCAAGTGATAGATTGCGGCCAGGACCAGTTGGACATGGTGATACCTGAAGGCCTCACCGTTCGAAGAGTTGCGGAGCTTTACGGACCGGAAGAAAGAGTGGAGGTCATTGATGTCAAATCGCAACAGAACGAAGACAAGAGGTGGACAATGCAGAAATGGGCGGAATACTACGAGAGTACCGGCGACAAGGTTGTCCGAAATGTCATCAGTTTGGAAGTCTCACAGAGCCCATTGGGCAAGCTTATTCGTCGGCCAAAGGTTGTCCGGGATCTTGACCTTCAGGACTCTGTCTGGCCTGAAGAACAGAAGGCTGTTGGTGACTGCCCGAAAGTTCAATTCTACGTCTTGATGTCTGTTGCCGACTGCTATACCGATTTCCACATCGACTTTGGAGGGTCCTCAGTATACTACCATATTCTGAAAGGCAAGAAAACCTTCTTCTTCATCCCGCCGAAGGACAAACACCTGAAGAAGTATGAGGAATGGTGCAATTCTCCTGCGCAGGATTCCACCTTTCTTGGGGACCAGACTAAGGAATGCTATCGCGTGGATCTGTCTGAAGGCGATACGATGCTGATCCCCTCGGGCTGGATCCATGCCGTCTGGACTCCTGAGAACAGTCTTGTCGTCGGCGGAAATTTCCTTACGAGGCTGAATTACGGGATGCAGATCAAGATCGCGCAGATTGAGAAGGATACCAAGGTGCCAAGGAAGTTCAGGTACCCGTTCTTCCAGAAGATCCAATGGTATACCGCTTTGCGATATCTCGAAGACGACCCGCTACCGCAAAGCGTTCTTGACGCCTTCGCGCAGGACGAAAATTACCGCTTTCACCGCGCGTATCCAATTTACTACGAATTCGGCGAACGGACGAATAATGCGCCTGCCGGGTCACCTTATCACAACTCGCGCTTCTATTCTCAGGCGGAACTGGAAGGGCTACCAGATCTTGCAAAATACCTTTATCACACTGCCCTCATTGCTGGCGCCTATCTGACGGAGGGCGTGACGATGGATACTAGAAATGCGGTCAAACGCTCGATACCCAAGATGTCCGGGGAGCCAATCGATGCCGTGAGGAAGTTTGGCATCTGGGTCGCCTGGAAGCGTGGCAATGAGAGGGCACCGCATTGGACCCGCCCTGGCGTGGCTGAAAGCAATGCGAAGCTCAGTCTCGCGGAGAAGAAGCCTGCCGGAAGGCCCAGCCGTCGCTCAGAGCGTAATGCTGAGAGCCAGCGCACGTACGCCGAACGACAGGCTGTACAGCGGCTTCCCGAGCCGGCTCATGATCCAGCAACTGAACTGAGCAATAGTAGTGGCCCTAGTGGTCCGCTGAATGCCGGAGCTGCTATGCCAGACGGCCCGTCAAGCAGTGGTATCAAAGAAGAGCCTGCTCCTAAATCGCGCGCTGCACCCCGTGGCTCCGGACTGGGCCCTAAGCGCGTTGCCTGCGATGCCTGTCGCAAACGAAGGATCCGATGTCACCACAAGGATGAACATAACGACGGTATTTCCAGCAAGCAAACGGCAGTGACCGCTTTTGGTCCCAGCAACCATTCGTTGGCACACGACGCAGCGTCTGCGTTGAATTCACTTGCCGCTATTGCATCGGAAGCAGGCTTTCAAGACAATGGAAGTGGCAGGAATCCGGACCGGTTTGAAGTCGCTGCCAAGTTCAACTCGGCCATTCTGGGTACGCCGCGTGCACCGGTCAATGGACTCGGACTCAACGATGCCAGTCCTGAAGGCGCCAACACCGGAAAGAAGGGCCGCAGCAAGGCCTGTGACGATTGCCGGAAGAGCAAGGTTCGTGTTGTTCCTGAAATTCTATCTTACTCGGTTTTAATACTAACTGAAAACAGCGTCGGTGTATCCACGATGAGTACGGCCGTATTGACCCTGTCAAGGCGCAAGAACGAGCAAAGCCGCGCGCTACTGCTTCTGCCAAACGGCCCCGTATCAATGAAGAAGGAACTGGGCCAATGATTAACAAACGGATGAAGCAGGAGAGCACGTCGCCTACGTCGAGACCGGCACATCTCAGCAACAGCCGTGAAGTTGGTGCGCTGGGGATACAAGATACTCACATGCCCGATCATGATCATGCAGCCCTGGATCTCCATGCCCCGTTCTCGGATGCGCCGCTGGTTGATAAAGACGCAAATCGGCAGTCCGGTATGACTGTTGGGGAAAAGGAAGCACCATTGGGGCCAACCTCCTATGCATCACCGCCTACGTTCCAGACTGACACGGTCGATGCTAAGGAAATAAATTCTGCGCCCGTTTCTAAGCCTACTGCCACCCTTGTATCACCACCGACCTCACTGGCCGACGAGACCGACGTTCCTCAGGAGCAAGCAGATGGGGAAGGGGATCATGTGGTAGTCCTGCACACACCAACCTCAAGTTCCCGGCACTCCTCGCGCCAGCCGCGCCAGGTCGACCGCTACATGCCCGAGACACATGTTTCCAAGCCGACCAAGGGGACGACCCATACTCCCACAGCTCGTCGTTCTTCGTTTGGTGGGTCAAGCGGTGGTGTGCGAAAATCCACCCCAGGTCCTTCTTCGGGACCCAAAAAGTCGGCATCACGCCCCTCCTCATCCTCGCATGCGAAGAAGAGTTTCTGGGCGACAGACGAGAAGAAAGGTGACCGGCATGCTGCGACGTCAACATCTCCTGGGCAGCCGGGCAAGAACTCTAAGCGGGTTGCGGACGAGGAGCCGGATGCTGAAAGCCTCCGCTTGATCCGGGAACTGCAAGAAGCCGAGTTTGGGCTACGCAAGAGATCCACGCGAGTGTGAGGGCTAGAAGGCAGCAGCGGATAAGTTTCATTTTTTTTCACCATTTTAGACCACCTAGATCGGGCAACCGGAGAAATTAGGTTTGAGACGATCGGATTCGATCAATTGGCAGTGTTTCCTGGGATGTGGAGTTTGGTAGGGATGGGAGTCTGCTGGCGATGATCGGTTTGGCTTGGTCCATCGACATGCTTTGGCCCTTGATTATTGTGATTCCCTTTTGGCGTCTCGTTATTCGGCCGGCTTTTGTTTCTATGTATTGGGATGTGTCTATTTTCTTTTTTTAACTTTCTGTTCCTGGCGTTATTCATGTGGCGGTTGGGGAGTTTTCGACCAGATCGGTCTGTTCGTTCCTTTCCTGGGATTCCCATTTCCTTATTCTTTTCTGATGTTCATTCGATATCAATTTCATTTCTAACACTGGCTCCCGACCCCGGGGTCGAGTCACATCTTTCTACCTCTTCTCATCGTTCCTTTTCATCATCCGTTTGCAGTATTCTTCCATTATTATACCAGTATACCTAGCTCTGCTTCAGCGTTTACTTCTGCCTCTGCCCCGTATTTCTTTCCTTCATTTTTCCGTTTTGGCAATTCCTGCTTGGTTTTTTTTTTTTTCTTTCTCTAGGTACTAGCTAGCTGCTGCGGTGCCTGATCTATTTCCTAATCTCTCGATCTTGTGTATGTTTATCGTACTAGCTGCCTCTTTGTTGTAATTTCGCTGAGTAGTACTTATATCTATCAATTTCTTTTGAATTCGTACTGAGTGGTAGTTTAAGATTTAGCCCTAGCTTCAATCGTGCTATCATCTCCCCTTTTGTGGTTAGAGGAGGGCTACTACTAGGGTGAGTGTCTATACCTTTAAGCAATTCTGAGATCTAACCAGCATGACTTCTCTAAGATGCACATAGGCTACAATATTGAACATGAAGAAGTTATGCTATACTGATACCAGAACATACATTTATATAGAATAACTACATCACCGTTTCCCCCTCAAGGGCTCTTCATCGCCCTCTCTCCCACTATGAGATGGGTCATGATGCCGATCAACCACTTCCTGCTCAAATTGCCTCTCAACCATAATCGTATTCATCCCCGGCACGGGCTGCATCTCCGTATCATCATCGTCATCGTCCATGCTTTTCAAAGCCAAGATCTCAGAGCGGTAGCTATTCCCGGCCCCGCTGCCATTATTAAGCTGCAGCCAGGTATTGTGATGGTGATGGGCGCTGGACTTTGTTTGGCGCTGGGTGGAGGAGGCGTGGGCGCTGCGTGAGCCGTGGGTAAGGAGTGTGCCCTTTATGCTGCGGAATACGGCAGCCAGTGACTTGTAGATTACGGGGAGGTTGGCGCAGAGAATGCCGCCGAGGGGTTCCCAGGCGGAGAGGATGCCCAGGGGGACGCCGGCCCCTGTGTTGAAGTCAGTAGGTTGGTCAAAGGGAGGGGGTGGTTTGGCTTACAGGTGTAATCAGAGGAACCTTGGGTGACGACGACGGTTAGTCGGGCTGCGCTGATGGCGCAGGTTCTGGATGTATGTTAGCTACTTTGGGGTGCTAGGTATTATAAGGTAGTGGCTGAGTACGTACGCTAAGCCGACGGAGAAAAGCAGGCTGAGGCCGATCTTCTTGTTCTTTGTGATCTGGAGGCGTAGGATGACGGGTAGGGGGAGGAGGAAGATCCAGATGTCGGTGACGAGGTTCGCAATGTTGGTGAAGTAGCTGAAGGCAACGAGGTTGAAGCATGTCCCTTCAACGCTTGAGTTCCAGAACTTTGCGATCGGCCGGCACTCCAGCCCTAGGACAATTTCCATGGTCATGAGCCACAAGATCACCCATACCACGGTTAGGATAACGACGAGGCGGAATCTCGGTGTGATGAAAATGCGATAATATAGTGCCAGCACGGAGAGCTTGGTGCTGGCGATGGCAACATCGTAGAAGTGACTGAAGATGTAGTCGCCCTACCATCGGGTTCGAATCCGTCAGCCATATGAAGGTGGGTGTCGAGTTGACTTGGTTAACTCCTTCGTACCTTCATGAATGTTTCGACTTCCTTGTCTGGCAAGGCGGCGACATGTCGTCCAAAACCATAGGGAGGACCTGTCGAGGTGGATAGTGGTTAGTTATACGATCCAGAGATGTCAACGGGACGGGCCGGTTAAGCGCACCGTAAACCAATCCACTGACGCAGACGCCAACACCAATGATCTATATGGAGACATTCGAGTCAGGATGTGCCCTTAAACACAATTAACTGCTAGATCGCTCACCGTAGCCCAGATCATCACGTAGTCGTCAAAGGTCAAGCCATGCTCCGAGGATGGCCGCAGTTTGATCCAGAGTCGCCATACTGTAGTCAGGATCTCAACGGGGATCGGGACCGAGTATGCCACAGCCACCTCGGTCACACGCGACTGAGCCAGGTATGCCGCTGAATAGTTCGCTCCTGCAGAGCTCATCTTGGATGGCTACAGCATCTAACCGTTGGACTGTATTGCAGCAGCAGCAGCAGCAGCAGCCGCATCAGCAGCAGAATTCTGCAGGTGCTCCCCATTGTGTTTTGTAGGAGGTGCTGGCCTGCTTACGGTGGGTCTGGCAGACCCCTCGCCCTCTTGTGTCTTCAATTCTTCATGCTGACAGCCTGACCAGGCCATTCCGTCGGCAGTCAGCCCAGTTTGTGCGAGATGGCTGCAGCCAAGGGAGCACGAAGGATAGACGAGGCGCTCTAATTGCGGTTTTGGCCCCACGCTAAGTATCGGAGATTGAGCGACTCATCCTTCAGGCAGTGAGAGAACTAACTAGCCAGCTAGCTAGCAGACGGTGCCCAGTAGGAAGAACCGGCGAGTTAGTTGGAGACTAAGATCGATGGCCGGTGCAGAACGAAGCATTGGACCGCCCACACGTGCCTACCCCGTGATCGAATGGCGGCCGCCCAAATTGATTGCGATCCACCAGGAATCCGCTCTGCTGCTCGCCGGCATCCCACCGCTCCATGCTATCCCAACTAGTATTAAGTGCTGACCCAGTACCTCGCTGCTCTGCAACATGCGCTAAAAAGCTTGCCCCTGAGCTGGATATGGGCTCGGACGCCCTGCCGCTTAATTGCCGTTAGTAGGACTGCCCATCCCTGCCTCTTTTTTCAAAATTTAACTGTTGTTCTGCAGGGAACCCGATTCGGTGAAACGACTCCTTCATCTGACGGTCTCTGGTGAAGATGAAGCCCGGCTACTGCTTGCTGCTCGCGGCCAGCGCGGTGCTCTCCTCCGCCAGCCAGCACCCTATTGTTGATCTGGGATACGCGACCTATCAGGGTTCTTATAGTTCCACTTATGACTTGAATGTGTGGAAGAGGTATGTCTGAAACACGCCCCCATTGGCCAACAGAAAGATAGTCTATATTGTGGACATGGCCTGATCTATCATCCAGTATCCGGTATGCAGCTCCTCCGGTGGGTAAACGGCGTTGGCAGGCGCCTGCACCTCCATTGCAGAACAACAGCCAGATCACACTAGCCGTGGACCAGCCCCCAGTGTGTCCTCAATCTGGGGCAGCAAAGACACCGTACATCTATGGCTTCAACTCGGGACCTGGCGATGAAGACTGTCTGTACCTGAATGTCTATGCTCCCCCGAACGCAACGGACCTGCCCGTTCTGTTATGGATCCGTAAGTCTACAAATAACTATGTAGCACCCAGCATTCAAGCTAACTGTAACGATCTATGGACAGACGGTGGTGGCTATGGACTCTTTGGTGCGACCTATGACCCCAGCCCGATGATGAATACCAACAACAACGGGTTCATCACCGTGGAAATCCAGTATCGTCTGGGAGCCTTTGGATTCCTCTCCTCCGAGGAAGTCAAGGAACATGGCGTGACAAATGCCGGTCTTCTGGACCAACGCTTTGCCATCGAATGGGTACAGGAGAACATTGCCAAATTCGGTGGTGATCCTAAGCGTGTGACCATCGGCGGAGAGTCCTCAGGCGCCGGCGCAGTCATGCTACATGCGCTGGCATACGGAGGCCAGGAGTTCAACCTCTTCAACAACGTCCGTCTCTCCCATTTCCCACCTCGAAATTGACTGACAGTCTTCGCATAGATCATTGCCGCAAGCGCCTACTCACCCCCAATCTTCAACTACCACGACAAGGTGCCTGAGCAGTACTATAACGACTTTGCTGAACTGGCCGGCTGCGGATCGAACTCCACAGCAATCGAGAACTACGCAACGACCTTTGACTGCCTAGTAGCAGCTCCCAGCACCCTCCTGCAGAATGCCAGCGCCACTGTCTCCACGTCCGGACTATTCGGCACCTGGGCCTTCCTCCCAGTCATCGACGGCGAGCTGATCCAAGAACGGCCCTCTGTGCAGCTCGCTCAAGGCAAAGTGAGCGGCAAACGCATTCTCATCGGCGTATGCACCCTCCATCCTCCTCAGTCCCCCAACACTCACTAACAATTAACCACAGAACAACGCCAACGACGGCGTCCCCCTAAGCAACCCCAACGTCGTCACCCGCCCAGCCTTCAACTCCCACATCTCAACCACCTTCCCCCTCTTCACCTCCTCCGACATCGCCCTCCTCAACGAAGTCTACCAAACCTCCAACAGCCAACCCACCGACAACAGCCCCCGCTACGACACCCTCGGCACCAGCGGCCCAACAGCCATCAACCAATCCGAAATGGCAACGGGCCTGCAACAAACTGTCTTCAACATCTTCGCCGAAACCACCTTTGCCTGTCCCGCGCAATGGCTCGCCGACGCCTTCAGCCAAGAAGACGACACCCTTTCCTGCTCCGATCCCCAACCCCCTCGTCAAGCCTGGAAATATCAATTCTCCGTAACACCCGCGTACCACGGCGCCGATCTCTCCGCGTACTTCAGCGCGGACGCTACCTGGCCCGATAAGGGATTCAGAACCGCCTTCCAGAAGATGTGGGGCCAATTTATCGTGGCTGATAGTCCAGTGATTTCGATGGAAGATGCCACGGCTGGGAAGGCGAATGCGTCGGTTCCTGTTGTGGGTGGTGGTCGTAAGAAGGGTTATGGTAAGAATGGGACGAGGATGCTTGATTGGCCGAGTTATTCGCCCGAGTTCCCGGTTATGATGGATTTGAATACCACCGGGGGATATTTGGTTCATGATGTGGTGACGTCGAATTTGTCGTACTGGATTCGGGAGGGAGATGGGATTGTGAATCATTTCCGGCTGGTCAATTCGTCTGCTTGGGAGGGAGGAAGAGGGGCTAGGTGTGATTTTTGGAGGGAGGTTTCGGAGAGGGTGCCTCAATAGTTGGACATTCATGTTTTGAGGGGGATTGTCTCCAGGAGAGAAGGTTACTTTCTAGAGTCAACGCGCATATAGACTAGAGATAGAGTGTATATAGATAGTCATTAAAGAGTAGAGATACTTGTTCATTGTGGAAGTACTAAACCATGTAGAGCGGAGGTTATAACCAATCATCTATTCGTATCGCTAAACTCCTCGTATCTGACCGTAAATCATCCAAATTAAATGCAAACTACCAGAACGCCATCATACGGCTCCTGGTCCGTGTCCAAAACTGTCATGATATGTATAGTAGCGTAAGGATATAAGGTAGGGTCGTGTAACTCGTCCATCGTGGGTTTGAGGGGGAAACTAGCCCCAACATGCGCCAGTGGTCTATGCAGTCGACCAAGGAGATGTAAGAATAAAGGAAAACGCCAGGGTATATCCACATGAGATAACACCGGAATAAACAAATGCGCGCAAAGAATAGGTAATCAATACGAGGGGAAATCTGGAAAAAGGTAGGGATATAATAGGAATAGGTCCCAACCAGCAGGGAGTGCAAGAATGCCAGCAACCTGACATGGGAACAATACCTCATGATTGTGCCACAGCTGGGGTCTGCCAAACGGCCAGGGGAGATCCCGTCTAGTCATGTTCTTTCTCATGTTCAGGTCGAGTACCCGCCCAGCGTTTAGCCCGCTTTTCTTCTCCAATATAGTTCTTGATGACGCAGACTTCCTCGTCCCGCTGCTGACAGACCTTGTGGCGGTTGAGGTGCTTGAACCGCGGTCCCACTGGGCCGTTGACATAATGATACTGACCCGCAAATCGATACTGTCGCTGGTCGCCTAGCGGATAGAACTTGTCGCCCCAATGGCCGTTGAAGTAGAACCACTCGATAGGAGCACTTGGCGTGGCAGTGGATGCACGAAGGTTATCACTATCATAATCGTACGTGTAGGCGTGGGCATTCAGAAGAGGGTCCCACAGGGGCCCGCGGTCGGTTTGGTCGTGCAACAAGCCCCAGGGTAGGATGTAGGCATGGATGCCTGGGGTGGCATACATGGCATGGGTGCCCATGGCGGAGTAGATCACGGGCTGACAGGGATCCATGGTTAGCGTCGGGAATCCCCTGGACGTGCGGGAGGGGAGCAATTTATATCTCTACTTACCCGCTGGCCGACCTTTTCGACGGCTTCGTAACTGTAGGCTTCTCCCGCCGAGTGCGCGCTGAAGAAAAGCGCCTTGGGCTTGCCGTCGTGAAATCGCACCAGACAGTGCTCCCAGTCACCCACGTGGTTCCCGAACCGCACGTTCAGCACTACGTTGCCCAGATTGAAGCTGTAGAAATAAAACCAGAACGCATCTACGACGCCGTGGCCTTTGTCCATTACCAGCAGAATTGCCGGCGCGTTACTGCGCCCGCCAGTCTTTTCGACGTGAATAGGCTCGCCGCCGAACCGTTTGCGCAACTCGGTTCGGACATCCTCGTCAGCGAGATCTTCCGGGCGGAGATACCCCAGATCTTCCGGAGACCAACTGTCATCCTCTCCCTTCGATGATGAAAGACGGCCTGTGTCATACCACTGGGAGCGTTCCTCTGGCGTGTCCCCAGGAATAGGCCCGTCTATCCGGCCGTCCCAGTCAGGCCAAGACAGCTCGAGATCGTCATCGGGATCGTCGGGAATATTCTTCTCGCCTTCAATCCATGGCGGGCGATCCTCTACATTGTCGTTGCTAGTCAAGTACACGAACTCACCTTCCTGCCACTCGTTCAGCTGATCGAGGTCCTGCAAGGTAGGATGCTCCTCATCCGAATGAATGGGGGTGTAGTTCAGCATCGGGGTGACGTGGTAAAGATGTTCGGCAATGTCGCCCGGCCAAAACTGTTCATGCGAGGACAGGTAAACCAACGGCGCATATTGGAAGACATACTCGGGAATCTGCCGACGCGAGCGTTCGGCTTCATCCCATGCGGGCTGCTGGGAGTCGTTGAATTGCGCATCGCGCCAGGCGGCGTAGTGGGCCTCGTCATCGGGCGACCAGGGTCCCAAAGTGGGCTCGCGCTGGCCGTAGCGGGCCCGCACTAGGCGGAAGTGGGCGGTCCCGCACATGCCGAGCCACCGACAGGCCTTGCGATCCAGCCAGGACGGCGAGGAGGCAATCCAGCTCTGCTCGTCATGATCCTCAGCATACCAGATGAAAGCCGACGGATTTACGGCGCGCGCGGCGCTGTTGATCAAGACATAGGCAATCAATGAGGCGAGGGTGACAATGGCAACCCTGGTGGAGCGAATCATCTGCTGCACGATGCCGGGGGAAGCTTCAAGATCGGAGGAACTGGAACGCGACGAGGGGGGCACCACTAACCCGGACTGATCACCGGGAGTAGAAGTGGTGGACGGGGGTAGTGTGACCAGATTCCCAATCGGGACAGCTGAGGTGGGAGGAGCTGCAGCGACCAGGCTGTCGGCCAGATCGGTCACGGAGGAATCCTCGGGGGAAATTGCAAGAGGACGAGAGGCATCCGAGCCGAGGGGGGAGGGATGACAGAGCGACTGCGACAGGAGAAGCAGCGACAGCAGCAACAGCAGCAGCAGGGAGGGAGAAAAGCGACCGAGCCGGGCATTTGAGCCCGGAAGTAAAGGAAGCGGAGGAGACACTATAAGAAGCAGCAGCGGACAGGCGCGATGACATTGTCAGTCAGCCGGGAAGGGTCGAGAACAGCAGGAACGGGTCTCGGAAGGTCAAAATGACGGTACAGAAGGGGACAGAATTGGGTAGTGATTGGCCATAAGGGCCATGAGTAATTGGTCATGATGGGACGATTGGTAGGGCAGACAAACAACAAGGCCGCGGGAGGTGATAGTGGATGCTTAGGGCTGAAGGGGGGGAGAGGGGGGAAAGGGAAGAACAGGGAAATTCGGGCATTGGAGTGGCCGAGTCCAGCACAGGAATTTGCTGGGAGCAGCAGCAATAGATCGGCTCGCACGGAAGCGGATTAGATAATGGATGATGAGGCACGAGTTCGAATGGGAAGACGACGGATGCAGCTTGGATTTGGCTTCCGCCGGTTGCCGGATCGTCATAGTAAAAAAAAAAGAGAGGAAGAAGGGGAGAAGAGCGATACGGTGAGAGAGTGAGTGGGCATGAGAGTGAGAGGGGAAAGAAGTACGGAACACACGGAAGAAAAGAGGGGCCATTGACTGAATGAATGAATCAGGTGGACTCACTGATCATGAATGGATCAATTCAGGTCGGAATATTGAGTAATGATGAAAAACTGAATTAGTATTTTTTTTTACTGTGCCTTGTGTGTACTGTGTACTATCTAGATGGAATGACCGAGTTCACAACTGCAACCGGATTGGAATGACAAGGAGAATTGGTGATGATGATGCAAGAAGGAGGGGATGAAGTCATCCGGTCGATCATCCAGCAGGAACTCACAGCTGCGGTGGATGCAGCAGAGCACTCTGGCTAAGACAAGAGGAGAAATAACCCCGTCAGTCAAACTGGAGCTGGAAGGTGAAAACTGGAGCTGATGGAGAAGAGAGAAAGAAAGAAGGGACTGGAACTGGGATGAATTGGATTACGGGCATTGATGGATCCTCAGGGTCGTAAAGTCTAAGGGTTCAGTCCGTCAGCCCTCAGCCTCTCATGGATGCCTGATGAGATGACAAACCCGATAGTCAGCAGGGTCTTCTACTGCTTCTGCCTCTTCTGCAGCATTCTATCATACTACTACTAAGTAAGTAGCTAGCTAGCTACTAACAATAATCAATCAATCACGAGAAGTTATGAGAAGAAACAAGGATGATGACTGGCTGCAACAGCTTGCAGTGGAGTGATTCACCGCCAAGTCTGGATCGTCGGGCGCCGCCGCGAATTAGTTGCCGCCCTGCCAATCAATCCAATCATTCCTCCCAACTTGATAATTCTACCATCATCATATCACTTGAGCTGCTTGCTCACGGTTGTCGCCAGCTGCATCCATGGCCCTCCCCACTCCCTTAATGCTGGATCCAGCCATGCTGGCCGATTCCAGTCTGGTCCACCCCGAAGACGATGATGATTCCGAATATGAATACGAATATCATCCCACCGAAACAGAAGTTCGTCCTCACCTTGGCAGTCTAGCTACCCATGCTGCCTTGGTTGTGATGCTGACAAGTCCCCATCTCACCATCACTAGACTGTCTATCTGACTCTCGACCTCACCTCCCTCCACGGTCCCATCCGCCCCCCTCGTCGCCGACAACCACAAGATCCCTCTTCCCTCCCCACCTCCAGTCCATCCACACCTTCCCAGAATCAGAATCAAAATCATCACGATGACCAACCCGACGCTGCTCTCTCCAGCACCGAAGCGGACCCCAACAACCCCTCCATCGCCGACCGTGTTCAAATCCTAGGCCTTCACACCCCCAACCCCATCATCTCCTACCAGAACCAAATCTTCAGCGGCACCTGGGCCGACCAAATCGGCACTGAGCTACTCATCGCGCGTCCTGAGGACTCATCCTCCTCACCACCGCACGATGCAGACCCCTCCTCCTTCACTAGTAGTAGTAGTCCGGTTATCCCGCTCCGCCACACCCCAAACTACGACCTCCTCGCAGCCAACAGCGTGAAAATCCTCGGTCGCAAAGCGAATCTCATATCCAGCTCATCCTCCAACGTCTACGCCGCGGATTCTGCCGCCGCCGCAGAACAACCCAGCGACAGCACCACCACTCAGGGCGGTGGTGTCATCCGCAAAAACGCCCCGCAAACCAATCAAGCACGATTCTTAGACCGCCTTGCCAGCCTTAAACGCAGCAAAGGCGAGACCGACGCCGTGCGGACAACATTCAGCACCAAACGTATGACGAATCTGGAGGATCGGCTACGTGGTTGGGCTCGTACCGATGAACAGCTGGCACAGATTCAACGGTTAAACGAGCTGGCGTTATCCGGGGATGCGAACGCCATGGCGGAGCTGGAGGGACTTTATTCGCGGTTGGGCGGACAAGATGAAGAAGAAGAGATGGATGAGAATGAGGATGAGCTGGGACAATAAGAACCCTCTACTTCGTATCTCAATCTTAATCCCATAGGCTTGTTTGGCTGGTTCCTCTTAAGTGGGTTAAGCTAAGCTTAGCTACATGAGAGGGAAAGTTTCCTATCAGTGGAAATATACTTCCGCGATACGAAACCACTGAACACTGACTAAAAAAACAGATCAATCATAGAACTTCTGAACGTGATTGATCTACGATGATCCAGACCCGACCCGACCAGACCTTCGGATCGGATAGGATAGTTCACAAAAGTCATGTAACTGAAGCAGACACGTCACGTGCCTTAGCTTGGAACATCCGATGCTCCGACCGAGATCGACCGAGGTCAGGCTCAACGACACATGCGTTCGTCCCACTGCAGAACAAGACCTTAAACTCGGGCCGGGAAGAAGCTTGCTTGCTCGCCCCAACACTGATGGGTGCATTAAGTCAGGATCATCATCATCCGCGGCAAAGTTTCCACCGAACTGAATATGGCAGTTGATGCGCGTCGTACGAACCGGTTTGCGGCGTGATGGCGTCAGCGGATTCTTTTTTACCTATGGCCGGGAGCTGCAAGGTACATCCTTGATTTGAAGGTGAATCTTGATTTTATTCTACTATGAGAAATCCCTGCATGTGATAGCGTCGATTTGATACAGTATGTGGGTATACTATACTGTACTATATACACTGTACTATGAAGGATGAATGTGATCATGATGAGCGAGATACCGAACTACTACCGTGAAGACTCTCCCTCTCTCTCAATAGAACGAGTAATAGTAATGATAATAGTATACACATCTATTCCCAGTACCTTCAAATAGTAACAAACAGACAGCTAAATCAAACCCGAACACTTGAAATAAAACAAACCAAAAAAAAAAGTAATCAATCACACTATCACCAAACACCCCAAATTCCCATCCATCCGACCGACCATCCATCCATCCATGAGACGATGCAATTATCCAAACCCATACCAACAAATCAACCAACGCTAAACCCCATTCCATGAATATCAAATCAAATGTCAATGAAAGTAATAGAAGAAAACCAACCCCAACGTATCCAGGAAGCTCCTTAACCTATCTTCATCCCTATCTCAGATGAATAGAGAGGAAAGAGAAAACTTCAAGCCCAAAACCTCCTCATCTCCACAGGCGACGGAGGCGGCGGCGGCGGCAGAGGGAATTCCCATTCCAAGGGTAGTTTCCCTTCTGTGTGATATGATGGAGAAGTGGGAGGTGTAGGAGTGGTACTAGTATCGATGGAGATCGCCTTGGGGATGTGTGTTGTGGCGGAGAGGATGGCGCGGGAGATGGTATCTTGGGAGAGGGGGAGGGAGAGGTGAGGTCTCCTAGAAGTAGTTGTTGATGTTGATGTTGAGGTGGATGTGGAAGGTGGTGTTGGACAGCGGGAGGGAGACATTTTGGTTGTTTCCACTTTCTTAGTTTGATGTAGAGAGATGAAGAGTTGTGTAGTTGTTGGTTGTATAGAATGAAGGTGGTAGTATATGGTGATCAGGAACAGAGTTTATAAGTAGTGATGGTAGTATGCTAAGTTCCTATAGAAGAATCATGTCAATGATCTGTGTCCTGCATGTGCATATGTAGAACATATATATATATAACCGAGTGGGAAGAAGCAAAGAAGAAAAGAAAAGAAAATATCATATGTGATGAATGGATGGGATGTATGCCGATATAGATCCTCCGGAGTAAAGATATCATACTTTGCTCCGAAAACCGCCGAGGTAAAATCAAAACAAGTAGTAGATGACTGGATGGATGGGTGGGTGGATGAATGGATCCAGTTTATTCTCTCATGAGGGTCCTCAATCTCAATCCTCCTCTTAGCCGAGGATTATGTCCGTGTTTGATTGAGTGGTGATGATGGTGTGTTGTGCAAGGGCAAAAATAATAAAAAAAGAAAGAGGGAATAATTGGCTTACCTCTTCTCTTTTCTTTACTATTGTCTGTATAGGCTATAGTTTGGTTGTTGGTTGCTGACTATAGTGGTGGATGGTGGTGGATGGTAAAGTGCCTCACTTGTATGTATGGAACAGAGTGAAGATGTATGGGAACCAAATAACCATCAAGTACCAGGACCCGAGTAGTACTCCAAGAGAGGACGAAGAACGTTTGAAGAGAAGAAGAATGGGAAGAGAAAAGCAGACAGAGCAAGAAGAAATACCCGCCTAAAATACCTTTTTCCTTCTAGTACTACCACCACGACTCAGGTACACCTAACCTACAACCCTACTAAGCAATAAATGGCTTGCTACGTACTACCGAATAAAGGAGAACGAGAAAGGAACCTAAGGATTGGATGGAAGGATACATCCATCCATCCCTTCCCGTTGCGAGGCGAAACCGAAACCAAAAAGAAAAGAAAAAAAAAAAAAAGGAACAACCGCCTCACCCTTGAACAACAACCCCCGGAGCCAGGCGGCGGCAGATGGACCCAGAAAGTCGGGTCCAGGCCAGAACCCACCACATAACTACTAAGTACTACCCCAGTTGTTTTTGCTACGTCTGGGCAAGGCGGGCGGATGGTATGGTAGGACTGAGTGGGCATGGGGCATGCTTGGACGGAAGGACGGAAAGACGGAAACTGTCCCGGGGATTGAAATGAATGGGGGATTTGACTTTGGCTGGGGAAAAGAGATCAGCCCGGAGAAAGAACAGAACAGAACAGAACAAGACAAGACAAGACAAGACAAGACAAAAAAGGATGGGGAAGGGGAGTTGGGGGTGGATTTTGGGGGGAAAAAAAGCAGAGATGCAGACTAGACTAGTTTACTGTTACGTGTGCAGATGTGGAGAAAACAAGGGTCAAAAAGGAACTGACTAGTAGTTCAATGGCTGGAGTTACTTCCCAGTGGTTTTTGAAAAAATGTTTCTAGTTACTCGTTTCTCCAAATTTCACTAGATACTACTATCTACTCCGTTATTTCCCCATACCTTTTTTTTTCTAGTGATCGACTTCGGGGCAATTCAGCCTGAGTTCCGGGAAAGGCAGCGAGTAATACTAAATACTAAATAGAACTAGAAGCCCGGGAATACTTCATCGTGCAGAATATCCCATAATCCAGTTAGTACCGCTACAGTGGCGATTACTGTACAGTAGTAGTATGGAGTAAATGAATGGATCAGACCACGCAATCCTTCATGATCCATGATGTGATCTCTCCTCTCCATTCGCCCCATTCCCTGGACACCTCACCTTCTAGAAAAACACCTACTAACAGCACTAAACAAGTCCTGACAGAAAGTACGAAGAACTACTAGTAGTACTACTTTTTACCTCTTTAGATTAACCCACCAATCCTTCGATCCATTCATTCATCCCACAGGATTGCTGCCATCATTGCCGTTTCACTCCGTGGCAAAAAAGAACACACAAACACACACTCCACAAACCCCGTCCAACTCATTTCAGTAAAAGCCCTGCTACGTACGTACTTGCTAGCCAGCAAGCAGCCAGCCCCTGCTTTGTTTTACTACTACTCCCACAGCAGCTTCACCCACACCTCCCCCTGGATTCATTTCCAACCAGCCAGCTAGTCAGTCAGCCAGCCAGCCATTGCAACGTAATCACCAAATAACTTACCTCCTACTGAATACATACATAGTAACTATTCAACCCAACTATAGTTACTTACTTACGTACAGATATGGCAACTCTCCACAATTTACCCCATCCGTCCTTATCCCTCCCACGTACCCGAACTCTCTTCGTGTAACACAAAACAATCCCCAAGAAAGAAAGCAAGTAAAATTATACGAGATACATACATACAGATACTCCGAATCTTGAAGCATCATGCTACATACTTACTAGTATTCACGAATAAGCTCGACCCAACCCACTGGTCAAGTAACTCCGAATGACGAACGAACGAACGAACGAATAAATGAATGGATGGATGGATGAACCATTTCCCACCCCTACTTATGCCCACACTAAAAATAATTAAGTACGATCTAGTTCATGGGAGTTGCATGATCGGCTACATGTACTGTATGTTTTTTTCTCCACATTCCAATCCGGGCTTGCGAGGCTCTGTGCGTTTTTGTTTGTTGGCGGGATACGTAGTGAAGTATGGGGTAACTGGAGTAGCCTGCATGGTTCTTTGGGGGAAATGGGGCAGCAGCTATGTATAGTTCTTACTAGTATATTCCATACATACTGTGTAGTACTTAGGTGGAAATATGTGGATGTCAGTCAGCTGCGCCAGGTTGCAGTGGCTTGGTGTAGTGACTTGGTGGAATTCTTCAGATAGTACCCCTTAAGTAGTACTCTGTAAGTAGTATACTAGTACTTATGTGGTAGAGTTTAAGATCTCTTTCGTCTGGTAGTGCAGAATTCTACTATGATGCTAGTGGGTGGAGGGTATTAGTTGCAGCTTGGGCTATTTTGATATCCCTTTGGAGATAGCTCTACACATCGTACTTTTCGTAGTCAAGCAAATCGTCTAAAGTAAAGATTGCATTGCATTATACAAAACCCGCCCAGCCCGTTTTAGCCATAATCCTCTCTTGCCCATCTCGCATTATCTATACACAGTTACAATCATCACCCCCCCAGCAGATGAGATGAGAAGACATCCCCATCACCAACCAACGCCAAACGCCTCGCAAACCGAATCAGTCAAAGCATCACCCCTTAGTAGCATGACTTCTCAAGGGACTCAAACTACTCCTCAAACTTCCGCTTCACCCCATTACTCCCATTAACCTGCGCCGTACTACCAGGTCTTCCCCGCTCCGACATCTGCGCCTGTCGCTTCTTCCATGCCGTCTTGATCGCAGGAGCCACCCGAATCAGATCCTCCTCCGTCACCCGGTCCTGGATACTCTCTAGCACCTTCTCCACCGTCGAGATATGATTCGCATCCGCCTTATCATCCCGAATGCGATGAAACCGCCAGCGACCCTGCTCATCCTGAGCGCACTCCACAATCGCATCATCCAACGGCTGCTGCAGCGCCTTCATGTTCTCCCACTCCTCCGGCGAGACATACATCTCTCCGAAGGGGCGGTACTCATTCGAATTGAGCATAACAAACAGATGAAAGATAGGCAAGGCATCATAATCGTAATACGGTTCCGTAACACCCTCCGCCTCATCATCCGAATCCGGTTCCAGCAGGGGAAACTCCAAGCGCATTCGAAAATCGATAGTATTCTCACTGGGCGGCTTCCATTTAAGGATATGTTCATCCGTACCGATGCGATAGGGGGTACTCCGACAAGTAAAAATCAAGCCATCATTGCCATGAATCTTCTTCACCTTGGGGATAATATCCCGAAACATCATCTCAATGCCGTAACTAAACTGCGTCGATTTATCCTCCACGGCAAAGATCCGATGCTGCTTCTCCTCGGGAAATCGATCATACAGCGCATTATACGGCTTGAGCACCTTTTCCTTGAAGTACGCGAGCCGTTTATCCAGCGTCCGATGCATCAAACTCTGTCCATCGAGCACCAAGCAGTCAAACACAAGGTACTTGAGCTGCTGCGTGCCATCCTCGTAGGTATCATTGACCAGCTCGCCGTCGACCAGCGTATCGACATGGAAGCGCTGAAACGTGTCATCGTCCGGTAAAGGGAAGTGCAAGCCCGGGACGTAGCGGTAGTCGTTTTTGCGATCAATCAAGTAGTGGATTTCAGGAGTGTCGGAATCAGGTTCGCCCCGCGCAAAGTACATCAAACATCGAATTCCGTCCGTCTTCTCGCACACGTAGTAATCTTCTCGTTGGAGCTCGGTCAGATGCCGTGTCGAGAAACTGACGGGTTGCGCGCCGGGGAAGTTGAGATTATTGCGGCCGAGGAGGGTGGCAACTTCGCGACGGAATTGGTCGGCGAGTTCGGGGTCTGCTTTGATGCCGACGGCATCGAGATCGGGAACTGAGTTGCTCATTGTGGTCGGACTGAATATTTCTGTATGGGAGGAGGGGAGGAAGTTGGTGAGGTTATGAGGAATAATGGTCTGGAGAAATGGTGGTCACGCTGGTGGTTAGAGCTTCTCGCCCGCAGGCGCAAGGCGCAAAAGGTGCTCAGCAGTAGGTGGGTAGAAGGAGAATTATATAGGGGCGTGGTGGTGGTGAGTTGGCGTTCGTTGGGAAAGTGAGAGCAGGCGCATTGAGGCAACGAAGGTAGCTTTGACTCCCATCTGCGGAGGTTCGGAGATACTCGGTGGCCTGAGGCATCACGTTGCCGTTCTTGTCGCCTGACAATGCGATACCACGGTGGAAAATGGCGTTTTTATTGACTTCATGCAAGCACAGTAAATGCCGTAGACTATGCATTGATGTATTAAACAACAGCCATGGGAAAAGACTTAGCATGCAGAATGAATCTCATTCTATCAATACGGCCAAAGAAGCACCGACTTAATTTACAATAATGCACGCCAGCAAGACTGAGCGCGGGGTATCTTATCAAATAGCAAACCAAAAGACCCCAAAACCCTTCCAGAAACGCCATCAAGCATCGCCCAAACTCCCTGCCCGTAAGCGGGCTATATGTATATCCGATCCTGGGAGTCTTTCATCACTCGTTACCCAGCGAGAGCTCTAGGAGGTAGCCGCCACAGGCACCTTCTTGGCTTCAGGTGCAGGTGTCTTCGCACCAGCATCTGTCGCATTTTCCTGCGTCTCTGCCGGCTCCGGCTCACCCACGGCCATAGGCTCGGGCACAGACACCTCCTCTACAGGGGTGAACAGGCTGCCGCCATCCGGAAACGGAGAGGAGAGAGTATCTCCTGTCGAGAAGAGCCCACCACCGCGTGAGCCACCCAATGCATGGGACAGCATCTCCTTGATCCGCACATATTGGTACTTCTTCTTCGTCGAGATCAATGTATGAGTCACCATCGGGTATGGATGAGAGCGAGAAATGGCCGCCATGACAGTATCTTTCTCTTCGTCCGAGTCAACAGGCCCATTGTTATCCAAATCATCTTGTAGCGGAGCATTCGCATCGATAGCAGCCTCTGTAGAAACCAGCATTAGCATTGTCCGACCCAGCCCACACTCGAGCACCATAAGCCACAAAACCACTTACTCTGCTGCCTTGCCTGGTTCTTCTTCTGATACGCCTGCAACAGCATATCATACGGCAACGAACGCCCCGGAACAGCTCTCTTCGCGCCCATCGAGTGACTCTTACAAGTCAACGACCTAGCGCACTGCGCACCATTCGGCAAAGTAACACCACACTGCTTCTCAACATCAACAGGGCCCTTCGGCTTCGGCACCTTCGGTTTGGGCTCCTCCTTCTTTTTCTTCTTCTTCGGCTCCTTATCCTTATCATCCTCCCCTGCCTCCGTCTTGCGCTTCTTCCCCTTTTTCGTCCCATCCTCCGCCATCCCCTTAACAGCGGACTTCTTCGCACTCTTCTGACCCTTCATCGAATCTTCACCACCCTCACCCTTCTCCCCAGCACCCACATCTTCATCACCATCCTTATCCCCCTTCTCCTTTGCGCGATTCGCCGCATCCCTCGCCTCCTTCTTCTTCCTGGCCTTCTCCTGTTTCGCGCGAATACAACCCCGAATATGTTCCACCGCATTCTGCTTCAACACCGGCCTCTTGCACGTCTTACAGATGACCGTCTCGAGATGATCTTCTTCGCGGGGCTTCCCCGTCGGGAACGCAGCCATAGTCTTTTCATCGATATCGGGTAATATAGGCGACGAGGAACCGGGGGATTCAGGCACTATAAACCACGCAACAACTTCCATCAGCATACCACCACTAAACCCCATCCCCAGACCAAGGGGAAGGATAGAGGGACAAAACAAACCATCACCCTTCTTCTTCCCGGACTTAGCATTCGCCGCCGACTTCTTCAATTTAATCTTCCCAGGTTTGGTATCCTTCTCGGCATACTTATACCCCGACGCATCGACCAGACTCCCCGCCGGGGTAGAAGAGGCAGAGGACGCTACAACACCAGTATTAGCATGGTTCGTAAATATAACAGCGAGTATCTTCGTGGATTTCCCCTAAATCATCATTGCGTGGTGGGATTATCCGGAGGGATGGAGGGGAGAGGGGGGTGCCTATAACGGACCTCTGCCGCCGGTAGCAGTAGCCATGATTATGAAACGAAACGACCAACCACCCACACACGCGCGCGCGCTCTTTCTTTCTCGACCGTCGGAATTCAAGGAGCGATATTGTCAAGGAAATAGAAAAACAGGATAGGATGGGATTGGAATTAAAGCTATGTATCTAGCTCCGACCGCGAGGGAAAAGGGGGACGGTGACGTTGCTGGGGGAGGTGCGGTATCTTAGTTGGTCGAGGCTTGCGCTGAGCACACTCTCACTCACTCTCTCACTCACAGTCCGGGGCGCTCCGCATTTGGGGAGGTCACGTGGGTGGTTAGTTAAGTGGTGGTCGGGTGGAGGGGGTTTTGAACGTCTGGGTTATTGGTGTGAAATAGATTTGCCTGGAGATGTTATTGTGAATGATGAATGGGAGCTTAGTGAGATCTGTTTGGGGTATTGTGGTCGCTGTGTTTCGGTTGATTCCTTTGTTGTGTTGGAGGAGGCTGCGGTGAGTGGATCATGCGTAAGGAGGGATGATGGATGGGTTCAAGTCGGCTTACTTGGAGACTAACACAACTATTCTTCATGATGGTGTTGAGTGAGAAAAAAACCCTCTTACATGCTTGATTATGTGAACTGGCTGTCACTGACCACGTTGGCCAGTTAAACGTGTTACTTTAATATGACTGGCAGTTACATCCGCCTTGTGGTACATGTTTATTGATACAATGCAATGCAATATGCAAACCCGCCAATATCATATGATATACAATCCGCCTACCCTGCATGCTTCGAGAAGCACAAACTACTGTTCGTTCCTCCAAATCCAAAACTGTTTGTTAAAGCCACGTCAATGGTGCGCTCCTGGGCCTGTTTCGGGGCATAGTTGCAGTCAAACCCATCAGCCAACCGCTCCAGATTGATTGTAGGTGGCATCACATTCTGGTCTCGGCGTTAGCAGTGCTATGTAATGTTTACCAGGGTCGCTTACCTCGTTAACGGCGAGAATCGAGAACAAGGCTTCAATGGCGCCTGCACCACCGAGCAAATGGCCGACGGCTCCCTTGGTGCTACTAATGTTAACCTCCGTCGCCCGTTGCTTTCCTCCCGGTCCCAGGAGCAAGGACTTGATGGCAGCGTTTTCTGCTGCATCTCCGACCACGGTCGAGGTGGCATGTGCATTGACATAGTCGACCGCGGAAGGTGGGAGTCCAGCGTTTTTCAGAGCTTTCCTCATGGCTAGAAATGCGCCCTCGCCGTTCTCCTTAGGTGCTGTCATATGATGTGCATCACCAGAACAGCCGTAGCCTCTCAATTCGGCATAGATTCGAGCTCCTCTTGCTTTTGCGTGTTCGAGTTCCTGACAACAGATTAGTAAGGTCCCATCAGTAAGCGTCTGTTTTGATGAATACCTCCAAGACCAACATTGCCGCGCCTTCACCGACCACAAAACCCTCACGATCCGAGTCAAACGGTCTTGATGCCTTTTCAGGCGAATCATTAAAGCTCGTAGCCAAACTGCGGGCTCGAGCAAAACCTCCGACTGCTAGCGGATGAATACAAGACTCTGCTCCGCCGGCCAACATCACATCTGCATCACCGAACGCGATGAAGCGGGCAGCATCGCCTATAGAATGAGCCCCAGTTGTACAAGCCGTTGTTGCTGAGTGATTTGGACCCTATATCATTAGCAGTGGAAGACCAGGCGTAAGGAAATGCACTTACCATGAATCCATACCTCATGGAGATGTGTCCAGCCCCGAGATTGATCAGGAGCTTCGGTACGAACAAAGGTGATACTTTGCGGTAGCCCTATGGCTTGTGAGCATGGTAAATGGATGATAGACATGCCGTACTGACCCCCTTGTCATATGCAACAACTGTGTCGTAAATCTCATCAAAGTTGCCAATGCCTGACCCAAGGCAGACTCCCTGGCAAAATGTTATTGAAATGATGTCGAAAAGCACCGACAATACATACAGTAGCTTCTCGTTGTTCAAAATCTGTAGGCTTCCAGCCCGAGTCTTCGAGAGCTTCTTCTGACGCAGCCATGGCATACTGAGCGAACCGAGCCATTTTGCGCTCCTCCTGCAGGACATCAGTTACAATCCTAATAAGCACTATAGTATGCCTACATCTCGACTTAACCACTCCGAAGCCGTCCAACATCCATCCTTTCGTGCACCTTGCGGCACCACTGCTGCGATCTGACATGGCAGATCTGCAAACCTGGCATCGCGATGGTTGACATTGACGATGCCACAGTGACCATCCAGGAGACGTTTCCAAGTACGACGGAAACCTACGGGAAATTACTTAGCAAATATAGCAAGAGCATGGATCGTGTACAGTTGCCTTCCTGGGCATGAATATGAGGTAGTGCAAGACCTTCCCTTTCCGGAAGAGTGGAAGTGGAGACGCTGGGGACCGAAAAAAAAAGATGGTAGAACCACGGCCATGACGAGGTTGTTTGGGACATGCTCAGGTGTACATGGAGGTATCACTCACCTACTCCTAGAGGTGTCACTGCTCCGAGACCAGTCACGACAACACGACGCATGGCATTCTGGGGATACACGGTACGTGATTACTATGGTCGAGGTATTTCACGTCTAGTCTCGCTGCGGGTGGTTGGTCTCCGCAGACTGCAGACGAGATGCAGGTCCAAACTCCCGCGACACTATACCGATGTTGGGGAAAGGCGGGAGAGACTAGAATGAATTGATGGAAGACAATGGAAGAGATGAAGTGGTGAAGCTCAACGCAGCCAATGGACGAGGCGAGAAATGGGGGTCAAGGGTGTTCCTTCCGCATTGAGACGATGAAGAAGTTGACCAAAAAGGGAAGGTCCGCACGACGTCAGTGACGCCAGGCATAAAGGCATCAATATTTCCCTTTACAGCCATATCCTGGCCAATGAGAGTCAATCTCCGTATCGATAAGAGATAGAGAGAGTCCCATCATCCCCAGTGGCCATTATTATTACTATTCTATTCATGGAATGTATTTTTTATGTCAACGCAACTACCACCGCTATTTATTCCTCTCCGATTGCTGCTCCGAAATTCCCCTCCTTTCTTCTCTCCCTCATCTCTCTTACACCCCCAATACTCTCGAGTGAGGTCCTCAATCCCGTCATGAAATCCCTCACTTGGGCTGCTTGCCTGGCACTAGCTGGTACAGCCTTTGCCCACGCTCACCATGACCACGAAGAGGTGCCAGAGCATGTGCGCGAGGAGTTGCTGAGGAAATGGGACCAGGAGGTAGGCATCCCAGTCCCAAACCACCTATTTCGCATTCACTCACACACCATTTCAGTTCACCTTCTCCGGCATTGCCAGCTTTGCCCATCTGAAGCCAGTCAAATGCCTGATCGAACCCGACGAACGGTACGACATCGCCGTCATCGGAGCCCCCTTCGACACGGCAGTCAGCTACAGACCAGGTAAGACACCCAATAACCTCACAGTCTGCCCCCCACGCTCACTGACACCCCTTCAGGCGCTCGCTTTGGTCCGCGCTCCATCCGGGCAGCTAGCGCCCGCCAAATGGCCGGCACGAGCTACAACACCCGAGCGGGAATCAACCCCTACGCCTCATGGGCGACAGTCAAAGACTGCGGCGACATCCCGATCACCCCATTTGACAATGGCGTTGCGGAGCGGCAGATGTACGAAGCCTTCCTGGAATTGGGCTCTCGCCCGGCCCTGACCACCGCGTCCTCCAAGTACGGCACGAAGGGCATCTCCGCGGGCAAATCGAAGCTCGTCACATTGGGAGGCGACCACAGTGTCGCACTACCAGCCCTGCGCGCACTGTACCAAATCTACCAGAAGCCCATCACGGTGCTTCACTTCGACGCGCACCTGGACACCTGGAACCCCGTGCGCTACTCAGCCTACTGGACCTCCGAACAAGCGCACTTCAACCACGGCAGTTTCTTCCACAAAGCCAGCCGCGAGGGACTGATCTGCAACTCGACCTCCGCGCACGCTGGTCTCCGCACGCGTTTGACCGGCGTCGACGACAGCGACTACACCAACCCGGGCCCGGAGCAGGGATTCATGCGCATCCACGCCGACGACATCGACGACCTCGGTCCCATGGGCATCGTGAACCGCATCATCGAGCGCATCGGTCTGGACTCCGACCAGCCTGTCTACCTGTCCGTTGACATCGACGTCCTGGACCCCGCCACTGCCCCCGGAACTGGTACCCCCGAGCCTGGTGGCTGGACGACCCGCGAGTTCATTCGCATCCTGCGTGGCATTGAGAAGCTGAACATTGTTGGCGCCGATATCGTCGAGGTGTCTCCTAGCTATGATAACAAGGGCGAGACTACGGCCTTGGCGGCTGCGCAGGTGGCGTTTGAGATCATTACTAGCATGGTTAAGGCTGGTGCGGGTGAAGAGTTGGGCGGATGGTATGGACGGAAGGTGACGCCGGTTGAGGAGACTGTTGTTGCTGAGGAGGCAGAGGAAGCTGTGGAGAAGAAGGAGGCCAAGGATGAGTTGTAAATGAGATATCCGATATGAAGTTATGTGAATGTATGTATGTTTAATGAACGAGTTGAGTTTCTAGTCAAGCCTGATGCAGGTACATCATGAAACACATAACATACTCCTAAGTCTAAGTAGTCTTACTGTAGTTCATCAATCATCCCATCGGAAAGGTAACTAAATCCATTACCAGCAAATACTAGATACTATATAGACCAGACGAAACAATTAACTACTACCTCACGAACCAGCAACCACAACAATAACAACATCTAACCATAATATATAAAGGGGTGGGTAACTTGGTCATCACTATTGTATCTGTTATCTAGTCCAGGCTTTGAAGACAATGAGCAAAGAAAAGAGAATAAAAAAAGGGCTGCAGCTCGGGAGAACAAATTGCACAGCAAATTTGGGACGGGTGGGATCGGCATGATAACAGATCGCAGAGTATGAGGGACATCAAAGAAAAGAAGATAGAAAAAAAAAAGAGAAAAAAAAGGAAAAACCATCAGCCAGCCAAAACAAGACGCCTCGACTTCCAACGCCGATAGAGACGATGAGAGGTTCGAAAGGGAGTAAAGGGGGGTTTGTTTGAGGAAGAGAAAAGGTGGGTGTGTGTGTGTGGGGTTGTGGAAACGTGTTGGTAAAAGGTGAAAAGGGGGTAGTTTAGGGAGGGTTTGACAGTGGGGAAATAAGGTGGAGGAACACAGTGAGGGGATAATGAAGGTCGGAGGATCAAGAAACGACGCTGGCCAGGTAGAAAGAGACCGAGGTCAGGAGACAAGAGGTTCCGATGGAATGAGGAAGAGCTCTCGATGGCAGGTCTGCTTGAGGTAGACAGGGCTCAGCAGCGCAGAGACAACCGAGCGAAGAGGGAAGAGCACACTTGGGTGTTACGGGTTGTAAGATGTGTATTCACTCAAGAATCAGTGAACGAACACAGAATGTCAAGTCAGACGTCGGTCGAAGAAGCCAGCCACCTTTGTACGAAAGAATCCCCAAAACTCCATATTGCATAGATAAAGCACATTCAGTCTCCCAAAATCATACGACGTGTCTGCGATGCATCAATGACAGGCCTGGAACCCTCCGGAGCGTACGGGCCTGCCCTGTAAGATCCCGGGATCAATTACAACAGGACGCACTTCTTCGACTTCTTGGGAGCAGGCTCGAGCGCGGCAACAATGGCCTAGAGTAAAGATGTGTGAGTAGATGCGACAATGCGGGGTGTGGCGCGACACTAACCTCGTCAAAAACGTCCTTGAGCTTGTACTGCGTGAGAGCAGAACACTCGACGTATTTCACTGCGCCCAGCTCCTTGGCCATACGGTCTCCATCTTCCTTGCGAATCGGTTGCATCTTCTGGCGGGAAAGCTTCTCGCGGACCGCGGGATCGTCGCGAAGATCGGTTTGGGTGCCCACAATCAGGCAGGGGACACCGGGGCAGTGGTGGTGCACCTCGGGGAACCACTTTTCGCGTACGTTCTCAAAGGAGGCAGGCGAAGTGACCGAAAAGCAAACGAGGAAGACATCCGTCTGAGGGTACGAAAGAGGACGGAGACGATCGTAATCCTCCTGACCAGCAGTATCGAACAATCCCAGGGTGTAGGGCTCATCGCCAATCCTATTGCGCAACGGGATCGAGTCAGTTGCAGATTCCGATATTTGTCCACAGACGCCATCGCATTTGTCGAGCCAGCGACATCGGGAGCACCAATGACGCTGATTGCGAGCGTGATATAGCGCACTCCGACAGAGTCCCGATATGCAAACCATGTCTCAAGATAGGAGGTCCCTAACTTACATGACCGTGACGGCATAGTTATCGAACACCGTGGGAACATATTCGGAAGGGAACTTGTTCGTCGTGTAGGAGATCAAAAGGCAGGTCTTGCCAACGGCACCGTCACCGACGACAACACATCTGCGACAAAAGTCAAACCATGGTTAGCCACTTGTCGCTCGAAGAAAGGATGAATGTATCGGTTTGCACGGAGAAAGGAGAGGGAGGAAGCAGGATAGAGGAGGGAGGGTTCGAATGGGGGGAGGGGAAAGAGAGGAGGAGGGGGGAAAAGTGATTGCGGAGAGAAAGGGATAAAGATGATGAAGAGAACAACGCACTTAATTGTTGCCACGACCATGTTGTAAACTTTGAAGAACCGTGAAGTTTGCGGGAGAGAAGGTGCAGAGAATCACGGAAGGTCGTCTGTCGGATGCCGAAAGGAGAGCAGGGACAGGAGAAGCAGGAGATGCGGTGAACCAGGGGGGGGGGAGGAGGGAGGAGACGAGTGAGGGGGGAAGACCGATTGGGTGTTTTGAGAGAGAGGGGGGGGGGGGGGGAGAGAGTGAGTGAGTGAGTGAGGAGGAAGTGGAAGGTAACGAGAAGGTGAGGCGGCTAAGATGGAGAGGACAGACGCGGTGGATGGGCGAGGCCGTCTGGATTCACGGATGGGGAGGTGGTGTGCGGTGAATGTCGACGGTGAGAGAGAGGGATGGTTGGTGAGGAAGCCAGCCAATGTGGGAGGGAGGAGGCAGTAGGCGGAGGACGGAGACGATACCTTACTAGTAGTAAGGAGAGGAAGGAAAAGAAGCTGCTGCTACTTTTCTGCTTTCTGCTTTCTGCTGCTGCTGCTGCTGCTGCTGCTTGCAAATGGGGCAACCCGCACCGCACCGTTACTTAGTTAGCTCCTGGTTTAGTTATCTCTAGTTAGCAGGTTCCTTTTTAATCGCCCGCCTTTTTCTTTTCTCACACCTCTGACAACAATTTCTCTTTTTGATGGTTGCGAGTTGCGCCACCGTTTGAAGTAATTTACCCTGGGCTGTTGATGAAACTCCCAAAGGAAAAGACTTCCTCATTCCCCCCCCCCGTCACAACTCTTTTCTTTACCCACTGAACGGCCAGATGAAAAAGCAACACAACGGCGATCCACAACCTAAGATAAGAGACAACTCACAGAGATCGGACTAAGGCCAATATGACGGCAACCTAGATAAACCACCCCCTTTTATTCTATCCTGTCGCGATCCTTCTCTCTTCCGTAATTTTTTTTTCTTTTCCTTTAGAATCTCGATCGTCTTGTCTTCCGCAACGATAGCGTGATGCCGAGGAAGCGCAGAGAGATGAGATGTGATGAGATGATAGTGATGGTAGTAAATATTAGACCGAGGAAGAGAGGGTGGAGGAAGGAGGAGAGCCAAGTCAGGTCATCCAACACCCAAAAGCAATTAAAAACCGCAACTTGATCGGATCCGATCGATAGAATAAGACGAAACAGAGCCGTGGTAGAAAAAATGACGAGAGTAAATAAAACCGATGATGAAGAAAGGGATAAAGAGAAAGAAGGGAAGAAAAGCGAGGCCTACTCTTTCAGTCCATAATAGTTACTACTTAACTACTTAACTATCTACTTACTACTTACGAACTCCTACAATAACCGATCATGCTCTATCAAAAGCAAAGCCATCAATCTCATCACACACTCTCTCCGGGCCCCAGGCTTGCCTCGGAAGTCAGGCTGGCTGTTTGTCCAGTGTAAGGTAAGGCCAAGGCAGGCAGGCAGTAATAATCCTAAGGCTCAGGCGAAAGTAAAGTAGTAAAGTTAAGTCAGGTTAGGTAACACCTCCAGTTGGGTAAGGAATCAATCATAATTCCGCCATGAATCCCGTCACACTGAGCATCAGATGCTTGAGCCAATCAATCTGGCTTGCCCAGACGGTCGCACTGACTGCGCCTGTCCTAGCTTGATTCGCTACGCGCCCAAGGAGGAACAACCTAGCAGTTAGTGAAGCTAGTAGTCAGTAGGCAGGCAGTAGCAAGTAGCAGTGATTGTGATCAACTGCCACCCTGAGGGGTGTCATCGACGAGGGTAACAATGAGGCCAGGGTCAGGGCTATGCCATGCCATGCCATGCCATCCCAACCTCGCACGGGGCTGGTTGGACAGCACCGACCGCCCTCTTCATCTCGTCTATCTAAGTAGTGGCTTTGTACTACTAGACTATAGACTAAATAGTATTCAGCAATGCAAACGCCCAGACCGACCCCAATAAAACGCCCCCGCGCTAAGTTTCATGACGGGGCCCAGATTCCACCCTGGGGATCGGTACATATCAATTTGCTTTCCCTTCTTCATTCCCCCCCGTCCAATCCTCAGCGCTATTATCGTCGCACCACTACAGCAATCAATCACATCCTACAGAAAACAGGGCGCACAAGTAAAAATCCAATCAAAAAGTACCAATGCTTGCTATATATATATAACGTGACCCATAAATCATCTAGTCTAGTCGTAACATCTATAATATCATCCCGCAGGATCATCCGCTGCCGGCCGTTCTCGCCGTTGCAGCTTGAGTTTCATGGCGCAAGCCATCAAGGAGAACCCAGAACGCCAAGTGAATGCTCGCACAAACGGCACTGACGGCCTCAATCCAAAAGCATGAAAAGAAATGGCAACCAATCAATCATCAAAATATATAATTTGGATTGTACACAGTCCATTTTTGGTTCCCCAAATCATGGGGGTTTTCACACCGCCTTCTCTATCCCATGCGGGTTTGCGACGGTTGACAGCAGGCGAAATAATAATAGAGTGCCCTTGCAATCTAACCGGGATGCTCTCCCTGTATGTGTTTGTACAATATGGCAGATTCAAGCGAAGGGTACATGAACGCCAATGCGGTCTGTCAGGTTCGTTTCGCACGCCCCTCAGGCTCAGCCTCATCTTCAACTGGGATCGGCTCGTGGTCGGATGACTCGCTCATCTACTCCATCGTTAATCAATTGGTTCAACATCAACGCCATCTTCACAAGCACATACCTTATCCAGTTTGTAATTCGTCATCAGTAGACTGAGCGGGATCAGCGGAATCGTGACAACGAACGCCAACACCAGGAGCTTGTTCATGGTCTCCTGGTATGCGCGATTGATCGCTACCCGGACGGGGGATCCCATCGGGTACGACAATGCCTTGGTCAACTTCCCGAAAATTTCACCCGCATCGGATTTGAACTCGTCAGGGAGGTAGAGTTGCAGCTTTCTCGGAATATGATGTGTCCAAACGGCTCCTGAAATGGCTGCTCCAACGGCCCCACCCATCTCCATGGAAGTCAAAAACATTGCCGTCGCTGCAGCAACTTCTTGGTGGCTAGCAGAGGCCTGAACGCCCAACTGCACTGGAACATTGAGGAGCCCGCCGCCCATGCCAACGATAATCTGCGTCCCCAAGATCTGCGCCGGTGAGCTTCCTTCCTTACGGTAGAGCAACATCAACAGAATTCCACCAATGTAGATGACGCAACCGCAGGTGACATAGATCCGGTACCGGCGCGTATATTTAATGAGCAATGACACGACGAAGGCAGCAATAGTCGACGTGAATGCAAAGGTTTGGGTCACACGGCCAGCCGTGGCAACATCATAGCCCTGAACAACCTGCAGGTAAGAATAAAGGTAAGGTTGAACCGAGAAATAGAATGCCACTAAGACATATTAGCAGAGTGCTTAAATTGGTGGAAAAGTGTGATCTTACTGAAGTAGAAGAAGGCCAGAGTACACCCTGCGAGCGCTGTTCGGTCTTTGAGTAGATGCAGGGACAACAGAGGCTTGGGAGCCAGTTTCTTTGATGTTTCCCAGGCGGGAAGCGCAAAAAGGCAGAGAATGCCAATCACAATCATCGCGATGATGCTGCCATTCTTCCATCCATTCTTGGCGTTGGAAGCAAGCGTAAGAGGGACCAAAATTAAGGTCACCGCTGTTGAGAGCAAGATCAGACCGAACATGTCAAGATCGTACCAAGTGTGGCGGATAATTGAAAGGAGGCCTCGTCGATGAGGGTGTCTAGGCTTGATCAAGTTCAGTCTTCGAGCCTTGCGTTGGTTGAACAATAGCGAAAGTGCCAACGGAAGAAACGAGGCAGGTAGGAGGATCGACCACATTCCATAACCCCATCGCCAGGATGTATGCTGAAGCACTGCATTTGCAATAGTCGGGCCAATCCAGACCGTGACCAAGAATGGAAGCTCTGGTAGAAGCGCCAGGAGCGCACGGTTCAATAGGCTGCTGCTGTCAGCAATAAACACCTGTTGAAGTATCTGCAAGCCGGTAGATCCGGCAGAGTAGAAAATCTGCGCAGAGGCATATGTCTGAACGTTGGTCGACGCAGCCATTTGGATGTATCCTAGAACGTATATGAGGATGCTGACACAGAACGCTTCGAACCGACCGAAGACGTCGGCAACCTTAGCCATAGGAGGCTTGATAACAGCTACGAGGGTCAGCAGAGAATGACAATAACCCCAAGGGAGAAATATACTCACCGTTCACCACATTTTGAACAACGAGAACCGTAGAGATAAGGGAGTGCTTGCTGAAAGCACTGGTGGCATAAGCCGAAAGGGACATCACGGTTTGGCTTTCGAGCGAGGTACAGAAAGCCATGAGGAAGATGCTTCAACACCATTAGCAACCACGAAGGATATTGGGAACCACCAATCCTGATGATTTACGAGGCTTACCTGACATATGCTATAATCAACGACCGTGTTGTCCATGTCAGATTGATTGCTTCAATCTTCCGAACACCCTCCTGAACCGAATCCACAGAGGATTCTACTTCACTATCATGCCCTTCAGGGTCGTATTCCGCCTGAAGGAGGCGCTCCTCCGCCTCCCTGTTGTCTTGATCCATTTGATCGAGGGTACCATATGAGACTGTTGAGCGGTGGTCAAGAAGGGGCATCGCGGCTGCGCCGTAATCGTTGATGGATGGTATCGCTGGGTAGCTATAAGATGACCGGGGTCCATTTATTGCGACAGGTCGTCAAATACTTCGTCGTCGTGAAGGTAGCAGATGAAGCAACAGTTTGAGTCCGATAGTTTCAATGTCGAAGTAGCAGGCATGAAAAGGACGGAGCAGGCTGACGATTGCAAGGCTAAGCGGACGTAAAAGGGTATCTGCGACCTGTACCAGCCAGATCCACCAAACGAAAAAGCAATACACTAGCCAACGAAGAGGGGGTATCAAAGTCTAAAGAATAAGCAGGGTAAGAAAAAAGCAAAAGACACTAGCAAGATGGAGCACCCTGAAGCCAGGTTTGGGTACCACATGCATCAGTTAGGTCACCAAATCAAGCAGCGGAATGCGCAGCACGCGTGGATCGCCAGATCTGGCGTACAGCCCGGAGAACGGAGGCCAAGGGGCTCAGCTATGAGTCTGCAAGCCCAAATCAGGCTCCCCGATATGATTCACACCACTGGACACGATCGACAGGCCGCACTTATGCAAGTCCAAGTGGGAGGCCCAGGACCTAGCCTATGGGCTAAACGCCCGTGGCCCAGAAGGGTAGTGTGGCACCCACTGAATTGCTGCACCAGATAGTCCGAACGGAGCTGTCAATGTTTTGTTTTGTCCCACGCCAGTCGTTGGTCGAATGAGACCGAGGGGACTTTCGGATGGGCTGGATGGTTGCAAAGCTTGTGCCTCGGCCACGGGCACCCATTGACGGGGAAGGGGCGGGAGTTTCGTTTCGTAGACGGATAGAAGGCGGGAAATGAGGAGGATCGAGTGAGCATGTACCCCTGGGCCTTGCTGCAAAGAAGGCTTCGACTGCAGGAGTTCACTAGGGAAAAAGCGTGGTGGTGTTGGTGGGGGGGGGGGGAAGGATAGTGTGGCAAGGCGACCGGGATTCTGAATCCTACGCAGGCGGGCAACTGAACATCAGATATGATAAGATCACCTGGTCCGGCGGTCGGACCCGGAAAAAGGAAAGCCTGGGATAAACAATAAGATGGATTTTATATTATTCGAGTATATTACAATGTAGTTTTTGTGTTGAAGAAGATATAATAAAATAAGAGAACAAAGAGTATGTGCAGCATAAGCATAGCATATATACTGCTGCCCTTTTTATACTGTTCTTTTCAGACCGCCTGACATTCTGCTCGTAAGAAGAATGAAGGCGCGCATCATCCACGCTTCCCCCTTGCAGGCCGAACCTGACTGATCCAACACCGTACTACTACTATACTATTGCACAGCGTAATAGTACTACTCCATTCTCTCACATTTTTCACCCACTCTTTGAATGTCTTATGGAGACACAGAGTAATTGTAATCACGCCAACGAAAGAAATCAGGGATCCCGGAATTATTTGATTGCTCAGCAAAGACTCTGCGTAATCGTCAATGAGAAATCCCGGCCCCATCGCATGATTGGGGGAAGTGGCACAGCCGATGCTGGATGACTCGGGAACAACCGCTCCTGGTCATCATCCGTCGGTCACGGGGTGATACTCTTACCCCTCGAGCAACGATCATCCCGTGTGAGTAATAACAATCACCGGATCATCTGGGTAAGACCACCCTGGATAGGAGATTCGACACTTTTGAGGGGTGCGAAACTCCACAATGAATATTGACAAGAAGGCGCGAAAGCCGCAGGAAATTAATGCGATATTTTTCTGGTCGGTCGTGTTCACGGAAGACTCGAGCCGAACTTTAACGATCCACCCACTTACTCAAAAGGGTAAAGATATTGTATTGGGCTTCAAGTCCGGTTCGCAACCCTCCGGAATGGGTACACTGCCCACTGTACGACACCGCTGTGGTAAAGCTTAGCGTTGTTTTCTTCCTCGTATAGGTTGCACACGGAGTTTTCTTGCGGTTGGTCAAGATTCTTCAAGCGCTACTACTTTTTCTTCTCTGTTCGCTTCGAATCCGGTCAGTTCATATGGGCTGCAGTTCTTGCATATAGACCAGATACTATTAGTTACCCTGCTCCCCTCTTCCACCCCCTCTTTGGATTTTAATCCCTCATCTCCAACCCAGCAGATAGCCCATGAGCTCGATTCTCGAGAAAATGTGAATATGCTGGCCACAAGTGACGCCCTGTGCTGGTGTTATTTCATGTGATCTGTTTTGCAGAAATCCATGCCCCCCCCCAATAACAGCTGGCGTATTACCTATCTATGCATTCAGTCATCCATGATGGTGGTGGTCGGTGCTTCTGGGGATCGAACCAGTGACGGTAATGGAGCTGGCAGATAGCCGGACCCTCAGTTATGATTGGCAAGCATTTTCAGTGACATTCGAATACTACTATCCAGCACACATCGAGGACTGCTACTACAAGCTTGCAAATTCAGCAGTACGTTTTCTTACGGTCTGGGACTGAGATTGCATTGTACCATTCTATTTCATGTAGGGTACCTGAAATCCATCATCCGAAGTATCAACATTATAGGGACTGCCAATCGATTCGGGACAATATCTAGATGACATGACCACCATGGACATTATGCATAAGATACATTTGCACACAGGACATCCATTAATCTGACGTGTCGAGTATCAGATGGCCAAAGTTCACCACCAGGTCCTCCCCCTCTTTCGAAGGCCGTGCTGCATAGAGCCCCACCCAGAGGTCTTGAACATTCGGTTCCTCGAACACCCAGGTGACTTCCCGAAGAGGGGATTTCTGGATGCCTTCCACAAGATAAATCCACAGGCTATTGTCTGACTCTCGGACCAGCTCTAGTGTCGCCGCTCCACCTCCTGACGGGACAGGCTGCAGACTCCAGTCCGCCCAGTTGTCTTTGGTGACGGTACTCAGGTGAGGTCGGCCACGGGTGAGTTCGATGCCTGTCTTGACCCATTTCCGGGTGCCTCCCGCACCGTTGAGGACAAGGATGAGTCCACCCTGGTCATAGTTTTGCTGCCAGACTGCATTGAAGGCGACTCTGACCCGTTTGAACGACTTCAACGGAACACTCCGGTATAGAATCGGCGCAGTGAATGTGTCTGTGGATGGAGGTTTGGACCAAGCATCTGTTTGAGGGGCCGCTCTGATGGAGAATTGGGCGGGGAGGATCCCATCACCGGGTACCTTCTCGGAGGAATTGGCGAAAGTGAACTTGGTCATGATTGCCGGCTGGTTCCGTGAAGAGGACGCTTTGGCAATGTCTGTGAGATCCTCACCCCGTTAGACGGTTTCGAACTGGGAAAAGGGTATTTGAGGGAGGGTAATTGGAAAGGAAGGGTAGGAATGAGATGGGAGTTATTCCAAAGGAACAAAATACAAAGGTCTTGAAGGAGAAAGGAGAACCAGAGATGGATGATGTGAGGAAGAGCAGAGGTCTCTTGTAGTCAAAATGGCCTACGTCATATTGATTGGGGCAGCCAGCGACGCCATACTAGTAGTAGAGACTCCGAGCTAAAGCCAGCATCCGGATTGACCTGGGCCACAATGTACTCGAATAGGTATGCGGTCGCAGGGAGATCCTCACCGTCTGCGGTACAGGGTTTGGCCTATGACAGCTATGACTCTGGGTGAGTGGGGTAATCGGAGACTACGGGGCGATTAGAAGCACGACGATAAGGCCGGTCGGAAGGTAACTATGGGGCAATTGTCTGGTACTACTTTAACTGTTAAAAGTAGGTAGGCCTGATAGAGATCCCCCGGGATTCCCGGCCGTTATCAGTAAACTCACTCCTCACTGGTATGGTTTTGAGACTTCTTTGAACATATTCCCCCCATGTGGTCTGGGGTTCCCTGCAGGGAGTCCCTTCCTCCCACAATGGCCAGTTCCACGATGGCCGGCAAAGCACGTGAGCGGGGAGACTCCTTTTCCACCGATGACATAAGCAGGCGTGCGCTCCCCTTGGTGGCAAAGGGGAAAACCCCGTGGCCTGGCGAGGCAAAGTTTGGGGAAAAGAGGATGGTTTGTTTGCCTGGTTGCTGGCCTGCCTCTGGTTTTTCCATGATCCATTTCATCCTAGGCATGGGCTGAGCAAAGTGATTGCTTCGACTTGCCTGTCAAGATCTGTTTGCCATGTCTATTGGCTACTATTATCCAGATGATTCCAGGAGAGTGCCCCTGTGGTCGCGACTCTTCTCATCAACTTATGCCGGTTATCGTCACTTGAAGCCTTCGGGGTCGAGGTACTCCGGTCGCTATCGTCGTTCTTTATTCCGCCGCATCTGCAACTATGTTTCTGCCGTTATCGGCGTTATATTCCTTCTCATCGTCCTGACCTCCATATTCCGGCCCTCCTATACCCAGCCGCCGCCACATTACTTGTCGCTTCGGAATGCGGTGTCTCAGTCAACGAAATCCGGCCGAGGCAACATCCGCAATGAGAAAGTCTTCATCGCAGCGAGCTTATATGACCCTGATGGCGATCTAGCACGAGGACATTGGGGGGACAGTGTGCTTGAGCTGATCGATCTGCTCGGAGAAGACAATGTTTTCTTGAGCATCTATGAGAACGACAGCGGTCGAGATGGAGAGAGTGCGCTTCAAGATCTGGCGGATCGGGCCACGTGCCAGAAGTCCATTGTTTTTGAGCAGCATCTGGATCTGGCCGGTTTACCGACAGTTGCCGTTCCCGGCGGTTCAAGGCGGATCAAACGTATCGAGTACTTGGCGGAGGTGCGGAACCGAGCTCTAAAACCGCTGGACGACCAGCCGGGAGTGCGCTACGACAAGCTGCTCTACTTGAATGACGTTGCATTCAACCCGGTGGATGCGCTCCAGCTTCTGTTCTCCACAAATGCCACGGATGATGGCGTTTCTCAATACCGGGCCGCGTGCGCCGTGGATTTCATCAACCCATTCAAGTTTTATGATACTTATGCGACGCGCGATCTGCAGGGCTTTGGCGTGGGCGTGCCTTTCTTCCCGTGGTTCACTAGCGCTGGACAAGGTCAAAGCCGTCAGGACGTACTAGCTCAGAAAGATGCGGTGCGGGTGCGGAGTTGCTGGGGAGGAATGGTAGCATTCGACGCGCGGTTCTTTCAACGCGACACAGATGTGTCGGTCATGGATATACAGCCTCAGCTGTCTGGAGAGGACAAATCACCTGCTCGGTTCCGGGCGTCACATGATACGTTCTGGGAAGCTTCTGAGTGTTGTCTTATCCATGCCGATATTCAGAAGCCTCAGCCGGACCCAGAGAAGATCACAGACACGGGGATCTATATCAATCCTTATGTCCGGGTGGCGTACGACACCCGCACCCTTTCCTGGTTAGGGACTACGCGGCGGTTTGAGAAGCTGTACTCTTGGATCCATGATATTCTCAACCATTTCGTCGGCATGCCTTGGTTCAATCCTCGGCGAACCGAAGTCCCCGGCCATATATCTCAGGAGAAGGTCTGGATCCCTGATGAACATGAAGAGGGGAATGGGTCATTTCAACTCGTTGATCGGGTTGCAGGCAAAGATGGCTTTTGCGGACGCCCGGGACTCCAAGTCATCATCGAGCATCGCAAAGAGGGCCAGAAGGGATATGAGGAGATTGAAGTACCTTCATAAGGGATTTCGATCTATGTGTAGATATTCCCTGCATGCATATTGCGTTGTTGACTTTGCTGTATAGGCCACGAGTTATGGGTACATAAATATTCATTAGACGTCATGGACATAGTGCAAGCCCCATATATCACATTTCGAAACAACATTTACAGATGGGACAATGATGCTCGTAGTTCTGTATTACAAAACCGCCCTCGAACTGCCATTCACCGTCGAGATCACCTCGATCACAAGCTATTTTGGCGGGACTTGCCAATCATATTAGACCTCAAGTGTTATTCCCTACTATGCTATTTATATTGTAATATGCTAGCCCCTCTTATTCCTTTGTCTGGCTTCCTTTGCAGTTGCTGGTTCATCTTTCTTTTCATCTGTTGCCTAGCATCCTTCCTCTTACAACCATCTTCCCTCTTGTTAGACACCTACATATTTCCTAAAATCCCATCTCAGACGTTTCTTAATCTTCCTTGTTATCATGGACAAGGGCACGGTTCCTACCATGGAATTTGCCAGCAGGGTCACCAGTATAATCTACGGGGTCGTCGGAACCTTCATGGAGAAGACGTCTTTCGGTCTCGAAGAGAGCCGACATGCTCCCAAAAAGACACACCTCTCAGTCAGTCTCTCCCTTTCCTGCTGTTTGTCTTGTACTGGGCTTTTCGCCCATTCAATACGTCTTGTTGTAATTTACCATAGCATGGTGAGAGTCTTCTCGCTGGGCTGACTGCTAGACCTGAACAGGAACCCCCTCATCGTCGTTCAGGTAACGAAGCCACGCACTTCACTGTCGACGAAAATAAAACTCGCCCATCCTCTGCTCCTCATTTTTCATCTCGGTCTTCTCCGTCGATACTTCCTGTCGACACTTTTCATTCCACTTGTTCTCTCCCTTCTTCTCCCTTATCTTCTTCATTTAGCAACACCATGGAGGACAAGGAAAATACCAAGACGTTTCCTGTCGCCGATGTGGACGACACGGTCAGCTTCATGGCTGCTGCTCGCTCCTTGAAGCTGCCAAAGACTTATGGCACTCCTACTGTTGCTGTCGACGCGTCCAGTGAGAAGGGCAGTACTTCAATGAGTCGTCCCGAGTCTCGTGCTGATGCTGATGTTTTTGGTAAGTATCATGCGACCACAGCCATTGTGAAGTTGAGACGCGGCATATCTCATGTTATTGTCTTCTGTAGCACCTTCCGGTCAGAACACTTATGACGACGAGTGGAGTATCAAGCCTGATGCCGAAGAATCTGAAGTGAAGCCCGAGACCCCCAAGGCTGGAGTGTCCAGTGTTTTTGGTGACTCCAAGCCCCAGGACTACAATGCTGCTGCTACTATCAGCGCTGGTCCACGTGGTTCGGAAGCTGTAGCTTCAGGTGACGCCAGTGAGGTAGAGGACCGTGAGAACCTTACTACTTTCAAGAGCTGGGGCACCCCTGCTGCTCGTGACAAGCCAGGTATCATATATTATATCCTACCTTCCGGTGGTCAACTTACTTACACGACTTGTTTTAGCTTCTCGTGTCCGTCGTATCATCCTCCGAGGCTTGCCTGCCACCTGGTGCACCCCTGCTAAGGTTCTGTCGCTTGTGCACGGTGGCAATATCGAAAGTGTCCACGTCCATGGCAACGGAACTGCTCATATCCTCTTTTGTGAACATGAAGCATGCCAGGCCTTCTACGACAAGTATCCGAACGGCATCGACCTTGACAAAGAAAGAAGGATCACCGTGTTTGTTGAGATGAGCAAGGAAGTTGACGTGGTCAGCTCCCAGCTTTCTTTCAATCTGTCTGTTGGCTCGACTCGCGCCGTGAGAGCTGTCGGAGTCGACATGAATGCCAGCATGGCGCAGCTGTACAACATGGCCTGTGGTAGTGGTCGCAAGGTTGAAAAGATCCTGGACTCATATGTGCCTGGAGACGTGAGTCTTCTTCTTCCTTATCCCTCTTATGTATAGCATACTCATATTACTAGGCTCGCAACGTTGTCTTCCGCTTCTGCTCCATCGAGGATGCTGTGCGGTTCCGCGGCATTCTCGTGCGTGATCCTGAGTGGGAGCACTGCAACGTTCAGTATGCGACAGACCCGTAGGTGCCCTCGTGTTAGTCTATGATGAATGCTGCTAACGTCGCTCAGCTGCGAGTTCGCTACCGGTATGCACATTGACTGAAGTCAAGCAGACTATGTTTGGCTACCTACATACGGGGCGGTTTACCAAGATGGTCATGTCTAGGGCGGGTTCAAATATGGAGTAAAATGGCAGGATATGCAGGATGTATCTGGGGTTGGGGAAGATTGCTTAACGGACAGGCGTTGTGGTAACCTGATGGATTTATTGCACCTCAGTTAGTTAATAAAAGCATTCGACATGCATGGATGTAGTTCCATAAGGCTTGAATCATGAGGCAAAAGTCCAATACCAAGTCATTGATTCACTATAGCATGGTGTATAGGTGACGACTAGGCCTAGCGATTAGATCTCTGTAGACATATAAGCGGTAGACATATCGCTGACCCTTTTAAACCTGACTCTTTTTAAACGGTTCGACGGCCATCAGCAACTAACAATACAACTTTCCCTCATAGCAAATTTCATAATACACAAGGTTGTGGCATAGCATACCAGTAAATCACAGTACAACCCCGGACCTCTCGAAGCAGAATCATGACAGACGAGTCAACTTCTTCAACTCCGTTACCCTGGTCCTCAAAGTTAGACTGTTCTGGCAAATAGGCACAGCAAGCGTACACTGAACATAACTATAATCATTCATAACACGCCCTCGAAGGGTAGATACTAAGAGAGAAAGGATGGAAAAGAAGGGCCTAGAGCAAGATCCCGTCGTGGCTAGCTTACCATACGTGTTTATTCGGTATGCAAGGTTCCAGTTAGCAATCGACTACCCGGGCAGAAATTGAAATTACTTAGTGCCTTGCCATAATTCAGCTAACCTGCTCAGGCAACCTCTTTAACTTCTGTCCTCCACTTAATATCTACTCCTAATTGCGTACGGAAAGTCCTTCAGCCATGGCCGCATTTTTCGTCGAGATGCATGGAGATATTGCATCCACGATGACAACATAACGCTGTATACTTGGCTACAGTAAACCTTGAACCCACAGCAGCCCTTGATGTTCTTCATTCTTTGCGCAGTTTGTTGCGGACTCCTTATCAGCTCTCAAAAGGGATTCTTTCGAGAGGTGGCCCGAGAGCCAGCCTATCGGCCATTGCACTATGGCAGTGGCAGTCTACTTCCTCATGACAACTCTTTATATTCATGAGCGAAGGATTCGAGGGATACGAGTTAAGGCAAGCCACATTATATTGATCCGTTCAAGTGACTTTGTCAGTGCTTGAGAGTCTTGCTACGGACAAGCTTATATTTCTCAAGGCTTATTATGGGACGCCTTAAGGCTTCATACCTGCGAGGCTCGTCATTCGGTTTCGGCACTGTCATCATTATGTGAGCAATCTTCTCTGCAATTCACTGCTTTGGTCAAAGAATTGGTCTAACTTTTACGGTTGCTGCATATAGTATTCTCGTTGAGATTAAGTTCTACTACGTAATAGAGATCAAGCGACGATCAGCCACGACGCGCTGACATGGCACGACAAGGGGAAGGCTAAGAAGGGGAAGGCTTAGAAGATTGACAAAAATCGGACGAGAAGCAGCGAGGAGACTTCTCAAGGTCATCAGCGTCCTCCACCAGATGAACGTCATGATGCAGTCGGAGACACTCCCACAGGGTGAGCAGCCCATCAACGACTAAACCTCTCTGCATCTCTTCGGCAGTGCTTATCACATCCCTTTCCAGAGTCCTCAACTCACTGAGTCCGGCTAACGAGCCAATACCTCGACGACCTGCAGGATGACATGGATGTGCTACAAGATGTTGCTGGAGGTGGTATTGCAGTACAACACAGCAGGGTCCAGAAAGTTCCAGTGTTTACAGATTATCCTTTGATCGGTGTATACGTCTAGAGTATATGGTGCACATCATCCCAGCCAATACCCTGGAGCTCTTGTGTATGGTCTGATCGTCAATGATACTCGTCACTTGGACAACGCCGGCTACCCTCGGGGCTGTCTGCTCCTGCCAGCGAGAGAATAGCTTACAGAAAGGGCGTGCATGAAGCTACAATGCCAGCAGCATTCGGAGCTTTAATGTGCGGCATTAAGATCCAGGGGGTATGGCTGCCAATAGCTTTGCTAAGGGCAGCAGACAGCAGCATGGTCTAGTATTCTCCTCAATTACCATTATCAGTCAATACTTGAAGGTCCAACAAGTAGACAGTCGCTGAATAAAGGAAATAATTTTTGAACTTAGAAGCCAGTACTTTGTCTTAATCCATCCCATGTCTAACTACAGAAATAACTCAACTTGATCCTAGTAGATAGTATATCCGAACATTATATAGTAAGAGATATATATCGAGCAGTATTATACATGATCTACCAACACTACATCAGCCACGCCATGCACCATTCTGAGGAAGCAAACAAATAAGCTATAATGCTCTTCAGATAATCATAATATCGCAACTATGCCTTTCATCAAGAAGCTGTCTGCCCATCAACCGTACAGAGAAATACATACCAGTACACGAAACCATACACCGTATATAACACGCATACAGTACCATACACCGCCAAGAAACCTCCCTCGGACATAACGGATATGTTAACCCTTCTCCATGTATCTCAATGACCAAGACAATTGCCTCAACCAGAGTAGCAGAATAGTCAATCATCAAAGTCGAAAACAGATACAATCATAGAGCAGAACAAACATACACATTCCACCAAGCCACTCTTATCCCATCCCAACCAAACATCTACAGTCAAAAGCATTGCCAAAACCCGCCAAAGACCGATCTCCAATCCAAACATTCCAATTACCCAAGGCCAAGCCAAGTCAAAACCACCACAGCATACACAACACACATACATAAATTCTAGCATTCCAAGCCCAAGAACTTATTCCTCTCAATTTTCAAATCCCGAAATGCAAAGAACATGATGTAACTTTACTTTTCCCTCCGATTCAGTTTTTTTTTTATCTCTGATTCAGAAAAAAGTCTCTCCTAGGCGTAATCTGATTCAAGATAAACTGTTTCCTAATTCTTCTTCTCTCCTTCAGTGAAATAATCTGCATTCTGCAGGGCTTTTTTCTTCTTGTCATGACTCGTGAGTCACATATGTGTGTATCGTACCCTACATATCCCCTATCCATCCCTTTCTTAGGCGTTGTTGTTGTTGTTGCTGTTGCTGGTTTTGATGCTTGCGATGCTTGGCTGTCTTGTCTGCTGGTTTTCTTATCTGGGGGTTGAGTATGCACCGTAAGTAGTTATGGGTAAAGGGGGTGCTTTCTCCGAGGAGATATATCTATCTGAGGTCATTCCATTTCATTATGTTGCATAGTAGGCTGAGACAGACATGATTGAATGCGGATAGAGTACTTACATAGTACATGGTACATAGGACATACTTGGTTTGAGTGATAATGTACATAGTAGGAGTGGTAGTATCACCGATGATTCTCTATTTAGTAGGACCCTGTCTACCTACCTGTCTGTCTGTCTGTCTGCCATTGCAGCCAGATTCGAATGATGCATAGTTGCAGAGCTACATGTGGACTGTGTGTGTGTATGTTGGGTCGAGGTGTGTGTGTACTGCCTGCACCGGAATCTCGGACCGGTAAGTAGCTAGGTAGGTTGTTAGGTATGCTCTTCCTCCTACTACTAATACTTTTCCGGTACGGGGAAAAAGAAAGGGGGGAGACTGTGGTTTAGTTGCAATGCATTTCCTGGGTTAGACTTGAATAACTCATTAGTATGTATGTTATGTTACGCTACTTATGTAGTGAGAAAGAGAGGGGAAGGGGGCAGAGGGGAAGGGAAGGGGGTACACAAGATGGAAAGTACTTATGTATGCACCTTCTCACATGTAAATGTACTGCTACATACCTGAGTATCTACCCACCTACCTACCTACTTACTCTACGTAGTAGAAGTACCAAGTTGGATGCATGTGACTACTACTACTACTTCATAGTTATGTCGATAGAGGGGACATTAATCATCTACTTATGTATGTTATACATAATACACTACTAATGAAGAATCAGGTTGACTGAAGAAGGGGTAAGTCGAATATCTTGGTATTCTTTTCTCCTTACATCGCAGTTTTCGTGCTCACTATGGATACTACCGTAAGTAGCAAGTATGGCAGTTAGATGATACGTAGTACTTAGTTACCTACCTACCGACCCCCGGATATTTTCATTATGGCAAGCGAATAGAAAGAAAGGCCAAGAAGAGGGCAGGCCGGGGAAGTGGAAGAAAGAAGCAGCAGAAGAAGAAGGTAGTATTTGTCATTGTTTGTCGCAGACTCGCAGTAGTTACTTACCTCGGTCGGAGGGTACATATCCAGCTAGCTAGTTAGTTAGTTAATTATTGACTCTGCACTAGATTCGATAATAATCCTGTCTGCTATGGTTTTGTTTATACGTACACGACAATCATATCACAACAAAATATAGGTAGTTACAATAGCCGATGGTGAACATTGTTTAGTTAGTAAGTTAGTAGTTAGTTAGTTGGAAAGTGACGATCGCTTTTTTTGCTCCGCACAGCAAAGCAGCACGCGGGGCCTTGCCCGTGTGTACATACATCCATGTAAACTAAAACTACATACTACATACTACTATTAACACGCTACGGAGTACCTTATAAGGAAATTGCCTGAAACAACAATGAGTCCAAAACCCATGGTTACTAACCGAATCCATTCGGTGCTCAATCCTGGGTCGGTCGGTCGGTCGGTCGGTCGGCCGGCTGGCCTTGTCAGTTTCTTGTCGCTGTCTCTGTCTCTGTCTGCCTGTTTTTGGTGTCCACTTCGAGAGAGGGTAAGTAGGTAGGCAAGCATCCTTGGGTTATTGGCAAGCAATAATTAGGCTAGACAAAAAGACGGATGTATCTTTCTGGGGCTCTCCCCTCCCGCGCCGCCAATTCTGGATACAACCCTAGGGTATGTCGAGAACAAAGAAGGGCCAAGTTGCGAAACAAGGTCGAGAACGGGGGGGTTAGCCTTGTTTTCCGAAGTGGATACTTGCACGGAGATCACCGAGAAGGGAAACAAAGAGAAATTGCTATGACGGGAGAGAGAAAGAGAGATAGATATGTCTCATTGGTATTACTACGATGTGTGGGGTGGGTTTTGGCTTCTAGCGATCGTGTAGATGGTTGGCATTTTTTGTTTCGCTGGTGAAAGGAAAAGTCGGGTGAACCAGAGGTTGAGAGATGCTTAGCAATGGGGAGAAACCATGGGTTCTCCGGGGGTGGTCCGAGGACTGGACCGAAGGAAGAAAGGGAAGGACTCCTCCGTGGGTTTCCTTTGGCCAAGAAGGTCAAGTCAACAATTTACCAAGTCAGTAATAATAATGATGAGGTGGTTAGGACGTAAGGCAAGTCAACTAAACGAGTGTGGATGGTGGGTGAGTGAGGCATTCTGCATGACCGTGTTCAAAATTACTCCTAGTTGATAAAATCGCTAGTTAGTATCAGTCCGGAGTTAGGAGTAGTCAGTATCTAGTGTTACTCTAAATTAATATTCCGTCTCTTGAGCGGCTCCATAACCTCTGCTGGAGGGAAGGAGAGGAGAGGAGGGGGTTGGTGGTCGAGAGTACTCCGGAGTCAAAAAAAACAGACGAACAGACGAGGGAGACGAATGACCCCAACGAACATGGATCGGAAAGAGAGGGATGAGACAGGAATCCGGCTGCCTCCATGCAGGAGCAGCAGCCCCAGTTGTGCGAGTGCGAGAAGAGACGAAAAAAAAAAAAATAAATTAGATTAACTGGGACAATCGGTGCAGGCCACCGGCTGATTCTCGCAGCGCGAATACTACACCATGGACCCGACAGTCTGGTAGAGGGTGTGATAGTTGGGCATTAGTAGGCAACCTTGAGCAGGTTCCGTCCAGCTGAGGGGTTTTCTGAGTAGGCTGGTTGGTATCCCTGGTAAGTTTGGCAAATGGTCCCCGAGGCTGGGAGGAGGAGGGGGGAAAATGTGAGGGAAATTGCACTCGCTGTCCACGGTGGGTTTAGAAAACCGAGGATGTCTTGAACAATGAAAATTTCCATGAAGCTTTTCAACACAGTTGCTTAGATATTACTTTTTAAGCCCTACGTAGGTTAAAAGCTGGCTCGAGCTGGTACCTGACTGACTCAGTGGATGAAAACGGTTAGGCATTTCTTCAGTCAAGATTAAGGCGTGGTAAGCAAGGAGTAAGCTTACCTGGGGTACGTCCTTTAGGGGAGGTACTTTGCTTTGCCCGTGGCACCATTAAGGGTGAGTCCAGCGTGACACTGAAGAGGCGGCGGGCGCACCGGCTGTGACTGCTCTCAGGCAGAGAGAGAGAGAAGAGAATAACTACACTAGTTTAGCAGCAGCAGCAACTAACTCTTGGGTTGTTGTCTGAGACGCGGAATCGATCTCGCTTGCCGACGTCGATCGAACGGCCGGCCGGCTTGGATTGGTCGTGAATGAAGGCGTATGGTATGGTATCGGACCTTACAGCGCGCCGGCCCATCCGGGCTGCAGCCAGGCTTAACTCAACAGAGTCACTGTAGGGGAAGGCCTGATTGCTTGCATGGCAGGGGCCAGCTTGCTGGGGTCAATGCTTCCCTCTCTGGCTCCCATGGCAGCCCACACTAGTATGTATTCTGGCTGTAAACCAAAAAAGGCCCTTGGGGGAATGGGAAAGTCATCGACGCGATCATCCTATAGTATGCATCATTATTGGTTTGCGTCGGGATAATTATAGCCTCCTGTACTCCGTAGCCCAGTCCAGTCACTTTCCCTTCCCCCCCGACATACATCATCCTGACTGACTGACTGATTGACGATGCAAACGCCCTTGTGATATGAAATTGTTGTCGAGCACATGCATACATACATATATACGCGTACATACTTCTTTACTTCATTTAGTGACTTACCCACATTAGTAAGAAGTAGGTAAGCTACCACATACTAGTATAGCAATCTACGGTGTGCGGACCATCTCTGTAGGTACCAAATAACACTAGTACGTCCCAAGTCGGAGTAGTTAGCAAAAGGGTCGATAGCACCCGTCATAAGCTATTGACGGGGGACAGCCATTCCGAACGCTAGCCAAAAGACCGTCTACATACGGAGTACTTCCTTTCTTCTCCTCTCCCCCCCATGACCCCCACTCAGTTTCTTAAACGCCGGACTCTAAGGACTTGGCTGGTCTCCGTTCTCCGTAGCGACTCCATCACGTAGCGTCAGAACAGATGTACAACGACTGCGCCGCAAATCCTCGTCTACGACAGTCTAGACTGCTACTTTAGATGTCAATCATTGGCTCGGAGTAAAGCTGATTGGTTGCAGGAATGTCGTCCGGCCGAACACAATGTGCAATAATGAAAGATGCCTGCATCTTGTCTCGCACTTCCACTCCTGTCGCATACATTAGGTGTCAATCTCATTGTCTTGTCCCGAGGCATGCAATATATCCTTTTCCCCAGTAGACCGAAAATCAGAAAAAAATTCGAAATTAAATTAAAGAAACAAAACAAAATGGGTCTGCCTTACGGCGCGGCCAGACTCGGGATCCGTACGTATCGGGAATCGGCATCGCGCATGGATTACTCGCTTCTGACTACTATACTAAGCCATCTACTTGACCTGCTAGGCATAGCGTTCGCCACTAAGTATATACTATGTAGCGGACGACGGGGAGAAAGTGAGGCCTGCGCTCGTTGCAATTGGCCCCACGTGTTGCGAGGCGCAGGGGTAAGAAATTCGTCGGTGTCTGAGGGAATGGGCAGAGGAGGGGGGCTCAAAGAGGAATGAGGCTGAAGGCAGACGAGTCTGATGACTCCTTCAATTAGCATAGTCTAAAACTTCCCGGAGAATCATCAAACCTGCCTGCACAGCTCCGTTTAATGAGAGATTTTGATCGAGTAAATATCCTATAGTAGTAGGTAAGGGTTCTCACTCTCTTACGACATGTCCATCTACTACTAGGTGTTTGGCATTTTCGAGGGTTAATCACCGAGATTTCCCAACTGGGTAAGACAAGCCAACCAATCAGAAACAGGCGTGGTTTGAGTTTCATCGTCAAAAGTCCACCAATAAGCCAAGTAATTGCGGCGAAAAGTCAATGGCAGCAGGAATGGAGGCAGACGGTGTCCATTTTCACCGCCGTGGCTGCGGCCTCGGACCTGGAGCTGAAGCTTATCGTCAAGGCCGGCGGATCTGAACCGGCCGCGGCTTGGCAGTCAGGCTCCGGTGCAGCCCAGAGCTTAATAATGCGGGAATCCCTATAGGGAGCTTTGAAGAGAGAGAAAAACAAACGTAAAAAGGAAGTGATGAGCATGGTCGGATAAATTTTTTAGTTTACAGAGGAGACACAGTGCGTGAACATTACCTACTGTGGACAAAAAGTGCTCTGAATACGAGAGAACGAAAAGAGGCGGGGGCTCCTTTTTCAAGATAGTAGATCCACCAGAACCAAATATCAGTAACTGCGCCAATTTCAAAAGGGTAAACAATCATGATGAGGATCCTCTTGACGGACAGTTCAAGTATGGATATCTAGACGGTGGCGCGGACAATCTCACCCAACACCACGCCACAGATCCTGGCGATCAAACGTGGTGAACGTGGTCTCAAATCCTACCACGCACAATGAGAAAGAAGGTCGGCTCATATCATCTAGCGCAGTAGACTACAATCCTTTGCCGCAGCGAAGGATTTGTCGCCCGGACCGAGCAGTGTCTTCTAGAACTTAGACAGGCACCAATCAATAATCATGGGCAAATATGCCCGTGGCTTTTGCCAAAGGTGCTCGTGAATATTCCTGCCGGATCTCCGTGCCAACCCCTTCCAAGGCTCTTAGCGTCGCCGTTCGGTGGATAGCCTGCCTGATAACTTTTTTTGGTCGCGCTACTTAGATCAGCCCCGATCCGGACCGGTGGAGGCTAATGGTCTCGGAATGAATGGACTATGGAGACGGGAGGGGGGAAGGGAAAAATGGAGGCAGAGGCGGGGCCCATGGTGATTCTGCATGATGATCTGTTCAACAGGTTGCTGATGTGAGGTAGTCAGCCTAATGAGGTTCAGGTGATGTGGTTGATGATTGGAAAGGTGTTGTGCATCACTACTAACGCAGTGGTCACTGCTTATCGAGAGGACGAGAGGGAGCATCAGCTGATGATTAGACTCCCTCAAACTGATCTGCTGACAGGAAAGAGAATTAATTACAATACTTCGCTTCCAGGCGAGTGTCGGCGTCGTCTGGAATGAAGACCAGAATCCAGATTAAAATTTATAAATTATTATTACACATGATACAGTTCTATTGGCGTGATAAGAAAAAGGTTTGGCGAAAGTGTCAAGTTTACCAATGATCGGGGGATTTCCGTCGGGTAAAATTTGGGCAATCAAATCATTTGATTAAGCTTTAGGATGCTAAATTTTGACACTATCCCTAGAACGAGAGCACTTCGGAGAGTGCTCCGTGTTGCGAATGCAACTCCAGCTTCACACTTCGTGGTTAGTTTATTGGGCTGTTGATTTAATTGACATCTGACATATCCAGTCCGCAGCAAATCTGATCTGGGCTAAACGGGGCACCGTAGCCTCTAGAGTACAGGAATGGTCCAGTCGGAATGTTTGCAAGCTGAATTAAGACACCCCTTCCTTAGGCTCCGGAAGCTCTGGCCAAGTGTGGTGCCTCTTTTAGTCCACACCCATCTTTCATCCTCTGTTCTGACTGCCTCGAATGCCAACAGCGGCCCCGCTTCTTCAAACCAAAGATGCATCCTCGCCAACAAGTGTTACGGTCAGTATGATGACCATCAATAGTCAGGTCGGTGTTCAGCATTATGAGTGGTT